CCTTCGTGAGCACCTCGGGAGGGCGTGTCCCGCCCTGTGACCGCAGGGCTGTGCTCGCGGGCACAGACAGGAGGCGGCCGCGGTGACCGAGCTGGGCTGTGGGCGGACGTGGGGAGCGGCGAGCAGCTGGAGTCGGCACAGCTGTAAACCCTGGGAGCCCTCCCTGCGCGGCCGTGTCACCCGGAGGTCAGGACGTGTCAGGGGGTGCTGCAGGAGGGCCGTGGGGGGGCCTCCCCGATGTCGCTTGGTTCCTCCTGCCGCAGCGAGCGTGTCACCGAGACAGGAAGTCTTTGTGGGACATCGGTGGCCCCCGAGTGGTCACGAAGCAAAGATGTCTAGATCACTTTGTAAAGAAACAGTGCTGAAGCTCGCCGTCCGTACACAGTCCACAGTCATTCATAATAGACATCTCTAAGCGGCCCCAAAATGTGGGCTTTTAAGATGGGATTCCAGAGCTGTGCGTTATAATGGTACGGGCGGGACGATGCGTGCGGATGGAGCAGTTACCCGCACTTCCGGTAGCTGTGTGATCGCCCACAGTCACCTTGGTCCCGTGAACACACAGGGGGGCCCTGCGAGTCTTCACGCCCTGTGGGGGATGGACATCCTGGGCCGCGGTGCCCCTGCTCCAGAGGTTCGGGGGAGGGGGGGAGCGGTCTGGCTGGAGCGTCCCAGGAGCTGCCTGCGGGGGGCTGAGCTCCTCCCCGCCAGTGCGGGCCGTGGGCCCTGGGCAGGGAGGTTTATTTACTCTGCAGTCACTCGAGGCTGGGGGCCCCGTGTGCAGAAGGCTCTGTCTCCCTTTGGGGGGTCGGGGGTGGGGACTGGCGCCATCTTGGTTGGCTCTGGGACTGCTGCCGTCGCCTTCACCGCGGGTCCCGGCTTCCCCTGGCCGAGGCATCCTGTCCTGGTTGGGGATCCACCCTTCTGCCGCCTGACCTGACTTGACTTCCCCTCGGCTGCACCCCGCCCCCCGCCCCCCCCCCCGCCCCCCCCAGGATAAGTGTTTGCCCTCGGGCCTCGGCAGCACCTCCCAGGAGCCGGCTCCTCCCTCACGGCAGGCCCCCGGGCGGCCCAGCCGTCGTGGCTCTGAAGCACCACAGACCTGCAGCGGCATGTCCCACACAGCTCGACCGAATGACAGCAGTTAGGGGTGACTGGGAAGCCAGGACCCCCAGATTGCTGCCGGTTTCTTCCCTCCTGTTCTCTGGTCAGTTTCTGCTTTGCATAGCCCACTGACCTCAGCAATGGACCTCGGGCACCCACCCCCGGGGAGCCGGACGGGGTGGGCGCAGCAGCCTGGGCTCCGCGGGCCGGGGTGGGCAGCTCAGGGTTTCCCCCGCCTTCGAGTCCAGGGCTGCCGTGGCAGGGGGGGCTGGCTGCGGGTGCCCCGACTCGGGGCCTGGCTGTCCCCTGAGGAGGGAGGGCAGTGAGGTCTGCTGGCCTTGGTGTCAGTCCAGACCCCAGCTTGCCGGTTTCACTGCGTGCCTGAATTCCATTCTGAAGAACAGCAGAGAAGGGAGCGTTTGACCCCAGAGCTGCGTGCATGCCCTCTCTCCCCCCACCCCCACCCCTTGTCCCCGGGACTGGCCAGCCGTTCCCTGGGGGGGTCAGTGGTCACCCCTTCTCCTCTTTCCCTGCCTTCCGGAACCTTCCAGAGTCCTCACAGCATGTTCAGGTCTCCACAGTCAGGACTTGGTGTCTCGTGTTGTGTGAAGAATTGGCTTTGGGGGGGTGTCCCTTGTAACCCTGAGGTTCCCATTTGTGGGGTCGGCTGTATTTTAGCTTCATTTGCCAGAAAATTTAGACTGTGTGTTTCTTAGTTTTCGGAAAGTGTCCTTTTACTCTGCATGGCTTCCTGCAGGGAGGGTCTTTGAGGAATTCAGAAGTCCGTGGGGCCCGCCCCTCCTGCGGAAACCGGCCCCTCCCGCCGGCTGTTCAAAAGCAGCCCTTCCCCACCCTGCGGTGTGCTCGCAGACCTGCCTGTGTCGAGCGGTGCGGGTCCGGCTGCCGGAGTTTCTGCGGAACGCAGGGAGAGTCTGTCACTGTCTTCGGCAGAGTTCGAGGCCCGTGCTGCGTGAGTTTGGGGGGCTGCACCGTGGGGCTGGGCTGGGCTGGGAGCCGGGGGACCTGGAGCCCGGGCGCCGGGAGCTGGTCTACTTCCCCATCTCAGAACCCGATGCCGCTCCACTGACGAGCTGGAGGCACGCGCACTCTTCCGCACGGCCCTGCTTCCGCACCTGAGCTGAAACGGGGGGTCCCGGGGGCTGGGCAAGTCCCCACGGGAGTCACACACTTCCACAAAGGTGCAGCACCCACAGTTCTCGGGGTCACACACCTCTGAGGGCCACATCTGCGCCGAGTGGGCTCTCGGCCTTCCCGCCTCCTGACATGCTGCGATTCTGTTGCAAGAAGGAAGGAAAAGGCAACGGCATGGGGGCTGAGGCTGAGGCAGGTGCTGTCCTTTGGCCAAAGGTGGGGGCCCTGCTGACCGGAGCCCAGGGTCCCCCGTTTTGAGGGCTGGGAGCAGTCGTCTCCTTAGGAGTTACTCTCCAGCACTCTGGGGGTTAATTCTGTCAGTGACATACTCGATGATGTTGTGGAGTTTCAGGAAATTTTTGGAAAGCGACAGTGGTTCCCCTTTTCCAGCAGAGTGACCCCAGTTAGCTTGGGAATTCTGGGGAGCGGGATGTGAGCTTTGGAGAGTGCCCTGGCCCCGTGCCCTGTGGCCCGGGCACAGCCGCCACCTCTCTGTCCCCAGCGACCGGGGCGTGGTGCGGGCGGACGCTGAGAGCCCCCATTCGGTGCCCCGTCTCCGGTCCCCTCGGGAGGGCCAGAGGCGCTGTCCGTCCTGCCCGGGCAGCCGTGCTCAGAGGACACGGCCGGGGCTGGAGGAGGGGAGCGGATGGGGGCGGGGGCCGCCGAGGCTTTCCGGGCAGCACCCTTGCCCGGGCAGAGGTGTGTCTGCCCGACGCCCCGGCTCGTTTCCGCGCAGACCCGTCTCGTGCGCATCCTCGGGAGGGTTCCAGTGGAGCCCCCCCCGGCCCCCCAGGTGTGGGGGGGCTGGGGAGGGGGCCTCGGGATTGGGCCCAGGCGACAGTTGCCCGTGGGACTGGGCCTGCCCACCGCCAGCTCCCTGGGTGCCCAGCGGTGCCGGGGAGATCTGCTGTAACCAGATAGGGCTTGTTTCCATCTAGTGTTGGGTTCTGTTACGTTTCCCTGCCTTTCCCGATGTATCTCCTCAGTGAACTCGTCCTGGGGCTGTTGGTGGGACGCGTAAACGGTGTGTGTGTGTGTGTGTGTGTGTGGCCACCTTCAGCCTCGACAGCGAGCGTGCGGGCGGTGGAGTGGCGGGAATCGGCGCCGGCGGCGGCTTCCGTGCAGAGACCTGGTGGCTTGGCCCCCTCCCTCCCGTGCGGCCAGAGTGGCAGGGCACCGAGAGAGGACTCGGTCTGTTTGCCGCCTGCCTGCTGGGCAGGCAGATAACCTGAGGCCTCGCTGGCATTTTGGGGGCGGGAATGGGGTCCGCAGGGCCCCAGTAACGAACGGGCGTCCCTGGACAGCATCCCCTCACAGGACGTGGGCCAGAGCTCCGGCTTCTGGGGACCAGCCCAGTGTGGGGGGTGGTGTTGGTTTAAACGGTTTGTCACCAAGTTGAATGACCGGGACAGGAGAGACGGCGGGACCCTGCTCTTTCGAACGGTCCTGCTGTGCTCCGTCCCTCCAGCTCCTGGAGACCGGTTCGCGCCTACCGCCTCCCCCCGTGGGGCAGCCGCGGCTTCTCCCACGTCGAAACTGTGTGTTTTCATGCCTGGCGTTCCTCGATCGAGGTTCCGGTTGAGTCTCAGACTGAGGGGCACGCGGTTCAGGGGTGCTGGCTGGCACCGGGCGCGCGCCGCCCCGCTCTGGAAGGCCGCGGCCGAGCACAGCCTCGGGGCTGCCCAGTCCCGGGTTTGTTGGCACCTCGACCCCTCGTTCCCGGGAGCCCGTGGCTTCACAGGGGCCCTGCCGTGTGTTCCAGGAGACATCCCAGTGCTCCTGTTGGGGGGAGGGGGGGCGGTTCTTACGCGTTCCCGGACCTCGGTCCTGCTGGGCTGAAACACGGTGACCCGAGGGCGGTCATGGAAAATGCCCCCGGGTCTGAGCCGGGCCTCGGCGGCCGGAGCTCCACCTCCCTTTGGCACAGGTTTAAAGAAAGACGTGCTTCAGGTGCAGCCACTTCTGCTTTTGCTTCGTGGCAGCCGAATTCAGTCCCCGGCCTCTGCCATCGTCCCGGAGTCACGGGCCCGCAGACAGACGTCAGACGTCAGTGTCCCTCTCCTGTCCCCTCCCCCTCCCCTCGCTCTGAGATAAAGAAAGTCCTTGAAATGAGGCCCCCCCGGGTCCCGCCCACAGGTGGCGGTTTTCTGTTCTGTGGTCTCGCCCCGCCCCGGCAGCACTGCAGGGTCCGTGTTTTTTTCGGCTGTAAGACAGCAAGGTGAAGAGCCCCTTTGGACCTGAGCATGTGACTCACTGCATCCGTCACCAAGGAGCCACCTCAGAGCCGGGGTTCAGTGCTGGCTGAGCAGCGGCTGCAGGCCCGACCCCCGGCCCATCTCTCATGCGCCCCCCCTCCCCCCGTTCTGGAGCCTCGTGAGGCTTTGTCTCCGCACCCCGCCTGCCTGTTCCCACTCACTGTGGCCCCCGGCCAAGTGCAGCGGATTAACATCTCATCTGGGCCGCGGATTAAGATCGGTCGGCCTGAAAGCCGCCTTTCCCTGGTCTCCTTCTGCCGCTCGGGCAGTGGGAGGCCGGGCGCCGTGCAGACCCCGGGGGAGGGGTGGGGCGCGCCGCCCACCGCCCAGGGCTCTGGGAGGGCGAGGAGATAAGCCAGAGCCGCGGCCAGGGCGGAGGCCTGGGTGGAACCGCGGCAGCTTCCTCCCTCTGGAGATGTCACATGGGACGAAAGCTCCGGGGTTTTATTTAGTTCCTAATCCGAGGGCTGAGGGAGCCAGCGCCGCGTGAGCACGGCAGGCGGGGCCGGCCCGGCAGCCTCCCCGCTGGGGCTGAGCGGCACAGACCCGGCCGCGGCCGCGGGAGGGAGGCAGGCGACGTCCCCGTGAGTGCTGCGTTCTGTCTGCTAGGGTTTCGCGGGTTAATAATTCAGGCCGTCCTCTGCAACAGGAAACCCAGCCGGCCGGCCGAGCCCGCTCCCACAGGGCTCCGGGGCGGCCAGTCGGCCGCTGCTGCTCGGAGCTGAAGACCCGTGAGGACGGCCGCCTGCCCTCGCCCATGCCCGTGCCCAGCAGGCATGTGGGTGTCGGTCGCTCTCAGAGCTGGGACGCCGCCGGCTGGTACGGCGGCCCCTGGGCAGTGGCTGAGGCCCCCGGCCGGAGCGGCCCCCTGACCGATGGGGGTAGAGAGGGGCCCTGGCGCGAGCCCGCGCCCGACCTGTGCCGGGAGGTCTTCTACAGCTCGGTGGCCGGCAGGAAGAGCTCCGTCCCCGACTTCGCCTTCTACGACAGCAGGCAGGCGGTGATGACCGCGCACGCCGCCCTGCTGCCGCGGGATTGCTACGGCGACCCGACTGGAGAGGCTCAGGTGCCCCGAGAGCTGCGCCAGCACCGGGACCCCGGAGTGGGCCGCTCACTGGCCGGCTACGGAGTGCCTGGGGGCGGGGCGACGTGGGAGCAAGGGCAAGGCCGGGCCCCTGCGCTGCAGGACGTGGCCCGCCTGTACCGGGACCCTGCAGGTAAAGCGGTGGCCCCGGGACTGCGGGCGCAGAGCAGGGCCTTGTCGCCGCCGCGGCACGCCGGGGAGCTGGCCCACAGCAGGTACCAGGCAGAGGCGACCATTTACCCCGCCGGCCAGGCCTACAACGACGTTGGTGTCGGCGAGAGGCCTGTGGATCCCGCCACCGCCAGGCAGGTGGCCCCCACGTGCCTGGTCGTGGACCCCACTGGCGCTGCCGCCCCTGAAGGTGCCCCGGGGACGGCGCCGGGCACCCCGAGTCGGGGCTACGGGCAGGGCGGCGACCCCTCCAGGATGTCTCTCGGGAGCTGTGAGGCCGGCCTGTCCTGCTTCCCGGAGCCCGGCGGCACGAGGAGCGCGCAGCCCGAGTTCCTGGCGCTGCTGCGGGCGGAGGGCGTGGCGGAGGCCACGCTGGTGGCCCTGCTGCAGCAGGGCTTCGACTCCCCGGCCGTCCTGGCCACCATGGAGGACGCAGACGTCAGGTGTGTCGCGCCCAACCTGGGCCAGGCCCGCGTCCTGAGCCGCCTGGCCGGCAGCTGCAGAGCCGAGATGCAGCTGCGGAGGCAGGGCCCGGCGGGCGCCCCGCCCCGGGCTCGCTCCAGCAGCCTCGGCCACCGCGGCGAGCTCCTCGGCAACCTGTCCCCTCTGGGCACCGCGGGCCCCCTGCAGGCAGCACCCCCCCGGGCCGGGGACCTGGCTCGACGCCCCTCCAGCGCTCCCTCCCAGCATCCGCTGGAGCCGGCGGCCACCTACTCTGCCCCTGGGGTGGGGGCCCACGCCCCCCTCTTCCCCTCCAGCTCCGGGTACAGCTCTCCCACCCCCTGCGCCCTGACCGTGCGGCCGGGCTCCATGTACCCCCCGCAGGCGGGGCTGGCCCTGACGCACCCGGGCCCCGCCGCCCCGCTGCACCCCCGGACGGCCTACTCCACGGCCTACACAGTGCCCATGGAGCTGCTGAAGCGGGAGCGGACCGCGGCCGCCGCGCCTCTGTCCAGCCCCCACGGCGGCGCCCAGCTCCTGCGGAAGCCCGGCGTCCCTGCAGACCCGTCCACCCTGCCGCCGGCCGGCCAGAGCCTCCACGCGCCCTACCAGAAGGTGGCCCGGCGCACGGGGGCCCCCATCATCGTGTCCACCATGCTCGCTCCAGAACCAAGTAACGCACCCACCCCGCCCTGCCTCCCCCGGGGCGCTGGGGGAGCGGGGATCAGGGGTTGGCACGGGGGACAGCGGGTCCTGGCGCTCTCGCCGTTCTCAGGCTAGACCTGGGGGGACACCCCCGCCTGCTCCCCCACACACACACAACAGGGCGGCGCCCCAGCTCCTGGCCGAGCCCGCTGACCCGGGCCCGTGGGGGCGCACTGGCGCCCCCTGCACGGTGACGACACAGGGCTGTGTTTCCGGGGGGCTCCGAACAGACCTCGGGGTTGCCTCGGAGCAGGCAGGTCGGAACCCTCCCCGCCGCCTGTCTCGGTGCTGGGCACTGGGGGTGGGGGCTCCACGTCCGTGCGGGGGAGGCCGTGTCGCGTACCCTGAGTCGAGGAGACAGAGTGGGGTCCTGGGTGTGTCTGTGGTTTTCAGCGTGTGTCCCTCTGGGCGTCCTCAGCAAACTCAGAATTTCCGTTCAACTCTTGAGGCTTTCCTGACAGTTTGAGTAGATTTGGTTTCCTTTATACTCCTGCCTCCCCAACGTAATCTTTAAAAATGGAGTCCTTTTTAAGTGCGTTGTTCTGTGAGTCGCTAGAGGGTGAGGGTGGTGGCCTGGAAACCGGGGTGAAAGCACCCCTCGGACAGTGGGGGGGCCTGGGGGCCCGGTGCCAGTGTGGCCCCCAACGGAAACAGTGGTCGTCATCGTCGTCGCCCCCACCCCCCCGAGACCTGGTGGCTGGCTGGGTTCTTCCCTTGTCTCACTGCCGATTCTGGTTTCGTCTCGTGTGGGTTTTTTGTTTTTTTTTCCCCCGATGTGTGGTGGGAGAAAATTCGGACAGCTTTCCAAAGACCCGTGCCCTGTCCCTCACGGTCAAACGCTCTTGTTGGCGGCCACCTGACTTGCATGGCGCTGACGTCTGCGGCTCCGGTAATCTCATCTGGCAACGGCCGACCGGCCGCAGAGCGGATCTGAAAACACGGTCCTTAATTACCTGTTGCTAAGCAACAGGTGGTTTGGCCGTAACCCCAGGAAGGCCATCTCCTCGTTGAAGCCTGCAGAGGTTCGCCGGAGAAGGGCCCGTCCCGGCGCCTCATTCTCTCCCTTTTCTGTTCGTCTGGCTCTGCCTTCTGAGGAAGACGGTCCCTGGCGTTGGGGGCGCGGCGGGGCGGGGTGCCGTCGAAGTCCGGCAGGTGCCGGCTGCGCGGCTCCCGGCCCCAGAGGACTAGCGGTCGCTTACTCTGCGTGGAAGCCTGCAGCCGGAAGTCGTCAGCCCGCAGGTTTCCCCGTCCGGGGTCTGTGCGGAGCCGTCCCTGCCCTCGGGGGGTCGTCGCCACCCTCCCCGAAAGCGGCGTGAACGGCTGGGGCAGCACGTGCGTCCCCGGGGCTCAGCCCGCGTGGCAGGCGTGGGGTCGGCTGCCAGCCCAGTGGGCCCCTGGGCAGCCCTGCACCCAGGGATGCGGCTTGGGCCCACGAGGTCGTGTGGCTCGGGTGTGCGGTCTGCTGTGTGTCCCCGGGCAAGTGCACGGAGCTCTCTGTTCCCCTTTCCATGTGCGCGGAGGAGCGCGGGGGTTGAGCAGGCCCCGCGGGCTGCGGGAGTGCAGTGCGGTGTGCCCGGGAAGAAGAAACAGTTGCGGTGCTGAGGCTTGGCCTTGGCCGCAGGCTGGCCCCCTCTGAGGCAGTGCTTCTTTTTCATCTCCTTATCTCCCGGCACCTCCCAGGCCTGGAGGCCGTGTGCTGGGCCGCAGGGGTGGGGGCATGGGGCTTCTGTCCAAGAAGGGCGGGGGGCTGGGAGAAGGACGGGGGGCGCCCTGCCGGGCATCGAAAGCTTAGTGGGCCTCTCACAAAACTGGGTATCTGGGAATTTCTTTGGACTCCTGTCCGGCACAGCTCCGACCCCTCTGCGGGGGCGTCACGGGGCGTGGCCTGGGGAGCTGCACGGGAGCTCGGGTTTGGGCCCCAGTCCTTGGCTGAGCGGGCGGGAAGCGCCCCCACCCCTCCCGGCATGCTCAGCGCATCTTCAGCCCCCTGGCCGAGGCCCAGCGGAGGTGGGGGACGGGGCCAGGCCTTGCCCTGCCCTCCTGTGGGCTGGTGCGGGAAACCGGAGCTGGCCCTGTCCTCACTGCTCTGGGGCGCTGGCCACCGCGGCCCCGGCTCCCTGGCGTGTGTGTCCTGCGTGGGCCCGAGTCTTCCCAGCGCAGGTCGGCTGTGTGTGTCTCGTCTCTGGGGGTGATTCGTGGGCTGCTGCAGCGTCCTTTCCGCCCTCCGCAGGGCAGGGCACAGGGGCCCCAGCCGAGTCCACAGGCAGGGCTGGCGGGGGTGGGGGGGCACGCCCACAGGCCCCTCTGCCGTCTCGTTCTGGTCTCAAGGGGCCGTGCGCTCGAGTGGCCGGCGTCCGCAGCAGGACCTCCGAGTTTCACTCAGCTTCGGGGGCCTGGGTGCTTGACCAGGCGTCCTTCCTGGCTTTGGTGGTAGATACACGATTTGCAAATATTGTCTTTTTTCTTTCTACTCTCTCGTCATCTTTTTAGGTTTTGGTACACGAAACCTTTCATTTTAGTGATGTCCCATTAACTTTTTCCCTTTGGTTGCCTGTGCTGGTGGGTGCCGTGACCCAAGGTCACGAGGGGACACTCGGCCCGTCTCCCCCGGGCGTCGTACACAGGACTGCCCCTGTGACCTGCCCCCTCGGGGCCCCCAAGGCCCGCCCGCTCCGCGGCTGCAGTCGGACAGCCGTGGGGAGAGCGTCAGGTGCCCCGGGGGCGGCGGGGGGGGGCGGTTCTAGGGGCACGCTCTCCCGACAGCCGCCGTGAACCGATCCCAGGAAGGGTTGCCAGTGGAACAGCCCACTCGGTGTGACCGGTGCCGAGTTTGTGCACATGCACACGCGCACACGCACACACACACGCACACACACACACGTGTGAGCTGTGAGCGGGACCTGGCGAGCACGCTCCCGGACTCCTGGGGGGGTCCTGGGCATCTCCCCCGTGAAGCAAAATGCCTGAGGCTCGCGTGCCTGGGTGCGGCGTTGGGGCGCCGGGCCTCCCAGAAGGCCCTGTGGGCCGCACTGCCTTCGGGGAGGGTGACTCGGGGGGACAGCGGGCTTCTCCTGTGCTGGGGGGGGGGGGTGCCGAGTGCCCGGCCCTCGGGAGCGGCCTGCGGGGCGGGGGCGGGGGGGGCTGAGTGGGTGGGAGAGGAAGTGGCAGTGACGGGGGGGGGGGTGCGTGGCGAGGCCCGAGCTCAGCGTCCCCGAGGCCCCGGTCTCAAGGACAGGGAGACGAGCTCCGTGAACTCCCGTCGTGCGGAAGGGGCACAGCCAAGCCACCGCTCAAAGCCTCTTTCTCCCGAGCGAGCCCTCGGCCACCTGGCCAAGGCGGCCGTGGGAGACCCGGGGCCGAGGTTCCCTTTCTGGCCGTGCCACCCTGGGCCCCGGCCCGTCCACGTGCCCCGCTGCCTTGTGACAGCTTCCTGTGTGCGTGTCACCTTCCAGGTTTTGTCACTTCCCACCAGCGCCTCGCCCGGATGCGGTTGCCCAGCCGACGTGTGCGATTCGATTCGGGTGGGCTCGGTCTCCTCTGCAGCCCCCGGTGACCTCTGGCCTGGGGTACCTGCCTGCTCCTCGGGCCCGCCCCCCGGGAGGGGTCCCCCAGTCCAAGGGGAGTGGCCGTCCGGCCCCCCCACCCTGGTGCTCAGAGCCGGCCCCCCCGCCGGGGGCCGCTCTGTTGGATGCTTTCTGTTCGGGGGAGTGAGCACACTTCGTGGTGGGTTCTGCTGTTCTCCTGTGAGCTGGGCTCGGAGCCTGCGACGCTCCAGAAGTCCCTGGACCCCGGCGAGAACGCAGAGGAAAGGAGCGGGGTGGGGGCGTGCGACCAGCCCTGGTGCTGGGGAAAGCAGCTTCCTGGCCCCTCCGGCCCAAGGGCGGCACACTTGGCCGCCGGCCCGCTGGACGGGCCTGTGAGAGGGTCTCAGGAGTCCCTTCCCTTCCCTTCCCTTCCCTTCCCTTCCCTTCCCTTCCCTTCCCTTCCCTTCCCTTCCCTTCCCTTCCCTTCCCTTCCTTTCCTTCCTTCCCTTCCCGTTTTAAGGCCGAATGGAAAACCAGGTTTGCCGAAAGCCTCGGCCGCTCTGCCCCGTAGGGTCCTCCCACGCGCCTGGCTGCGGCCTCCGCGGTTCTGAGGGCTCCAGGGGGTCCTCCCTGCTGCTCGAGGTCACGGTGCTGACGGTCAGCATGCGGACGTGCGGCCCCGCAGGGAAGGAAGGAAGGGGCTGTCCCCCCTGGGGCAGAGCCCAGGGATGGTTCTCACGCCGTGTGACCAGACCTCGGGCGGTGGGTGGGGCACGTGCAGACCTGCCCGGGCTGTCGGGGGTGCGGAGCCGGGCCCCCGGCGTCGGGCTGGCAGGGGGCCCTGGCGTCGGGCGCGTGCGTGGCCACTGACAGGAGACAGAGTGAGGCCCCGTCCACACTGTGACCACAGAGAGGCACGCACCTGGCCTCGCGGCGGTGGCCCAGGGCGCACGGGAAGGACTGGCGAGGAGAGCCCAGCAGAGCCGCCCTCCGAGCGGGGCGGGAGCCGGCGGGCGGGCTCGGGTTCGTGGCCGTGGTGCGCGCAGCACGCAGTGAGGCGTTAGAAGTCACCGCGGAGACCGTCTGAGAGACCAGCGTGGCTCGCAGCGGCAGGCCCGTCGGAGGCGGTCCCCGGGGACCAGGCACCTGGCACGCAGCCCGGTCTGCGCCCGGTCGTGGGTGGGCGCGGTGCGGCCCCAAGTGCAGGCAGCTGGTCAAGTCCGAGGTGAGGCCGAGAGGCGGGTGCTCCTCTGGGCCCCGGTGGGCGGCAGAGCACCCGGTCAGGACCCTGGGAGCTGGGCCCCGGTGTTCGGAACCTCGGGGTGCCCGGCGTGTGAGCCGCAGGCGGAGCATTGCAGCTGTCCCTGTGGGGAGCGTGGGCCCTGGCGCCCACACCGACCTTGCGGCCCCCTGGTGTGGAGCCGTAGGCCGGGGCTCTCTCCACCCACAGCCTGGGAGCCCCTGTGGGCCTTGGTAGGCTCGTACCCCCTGGGCTGCAGTCACGCTGAGAGGAGCTGCCCCGGGACGGGGGGAGAAGTGTCCTCTGAGTCTGGGGTGCCGCCCGTTAAGGCAGCGCGCTCTGCAGGATCACAGCCCATCGGTGAAAGGGGGTGCAGAGGGTGTGTTCCAGCCCGAAGGGGCAGCTGAGGGGGTCCCTAGCCTCACGCCTAAGATGCTGGTCGCCTGTCCCGGGGACTGTCCCCGGCGTTGGGGGTTGTATGAACCCACCTGGGCGGGAAGCCAGTGGGGCCCCGCAGCAGGGGACCAGCCGCTCCCCAAGCTCAGATCTGCAGCCCTCCCGCCCTGGCCCTGGCCCCAGCCCTCCATCCTGCCCCCGCTGTGCGCCCCGGGACCACCCGCGGAGGCCAGGCTCTCGGGGACAACGTGCTTCACCGGAAACAGAGCAGGGCCCCGCGTGGTGTCGGCCGCTGTCCTGCGGGCCAGTCTGGCCGGTCTCCTTTCTCACTGGCCTCAGTGGGTGGCGGTCAGCCTGACCCTGGCGGCAAAGAGCCCCTGCTTCTGGAACCCCGGGTGCTTCTTCAGGGCAGAGGGGCTCACTGGGGACACAGGCTCCCCCGGGATGGTGAGGGCGATGGCGGAGGCCAGACAGGCGCTCCGGGCCAGGAGACCCCCGCGAGCGGGCCAGCGGGGGCGCCCGGGCGCCCAGACTGCAGGGGCCAGCGCGTGCGTGTCTGGAGGAATGGCAGACAGTGGCGGACAGACGCTGGTCCTTGGCTTTCTGTCTGAGCTCTGCTGCAGAAGGGCAGAGACTCTGTCCCTCGCCTCCGTGCGAGGTCCCCGCTGGGCCAGCTGTGCGGGCGGGGCTGTCCTGTGCGCGCCTGCCCACCTCCCCCGCAGTCCTGGGCAGCCCGGCCTGGGAGTCTCCGGGTGGCTGCGGTGTCCGGGGACTTCGGCAGAACCCGCCTCCTTGAGGCCTCTCACCCCCCGGTCCTGTAGCCACATCGCCCTGGGGCGAAGTCCCTGGATCGCTGGCAGCCGCCGGGCCCCGGGGCAGTCCAGGTCCCGAGTCGCCAGCAGCAGAGGCCACGCCAGACCTGTGGGCGGAGTGCGGCCCTCCGGCGGGGGGTGCCGGTGCCCGGGGAGCGGGTCCCGGACACACGGCAGGCAGCTGTGGGTGGCAGAGTCTGCCTTCCCCTCGGGACCTGGGAGTCCTTCTGACCTGCTGTGTCCGGACCTCCGGCCCCTCGGCGACACTCCGGCCACTGGAGGTTTCCCACTGAATGTCTCCGATTTCGCAGTGACGCGTGTGTGGTGGGCGGCAGCCCCAGCAGTGCCGGGCCCGGGGAGGGGCGCAGCGCCCCAGCCTCCGGGAGGAGCCTGTCCCTGCTCAGGCGGGTGAGGGCCTGCACCCGGCCTGTGGTGGGTTCAGGGTTGTCCCGCGCTTTCTGCCCTGCGAGGTTGCGGCTGCACATGTCCAAGTGCAGCCGCAGTTTCGTGAAGGACGGGGCGAGCTCTCCGCTGGGGAGCCTGTGGGAAGGGACAGGCGTTTTGATCCGTGGGCCACCAGGGCCCCGCGGTCCCCACCAGCAGCCGTCCCTGGCCCACTGAGGCGCCGTGTCATCCGCTGCCCTGGTGTTCCTCTCGGCAGAGTGGGGTCTCCCTGAGTGACGGGAAGGAGGGAGACACTGGGAATCTTGTCCGTCTCGGGGTTCATGGGGTTTGTCTTGAGTGTCCAGTAGTCGGTCGCCTGGCTCTGGATTGCCAGCCTCCCTTCCCAGGGGCTTCCTGTTCAGCGCGGTGCCTGGGCGCCCTCCCCCGCCTGGGGCCCCACCCTAAGCCGGTCCCCACCGGCCGCCCGGCTGTGTGGGCCCTGACCCGGAGTGTCGGGCAGCGTGGGACGAGACAGAAGGTCCGTCTGCAGGTTCGTCCCCCGGTGTCTCTGGGGGACCCCCGGGCCCTCCTGCCCCCGGCTCCAGCGGGGGCGGCGGGTGCCGGGCAAGCCGGCTGGGCTGGGACTGGACCCGCAGTGTGCACGCCGGTGTCCCTCCGGGGTGCACGTGGGGTGTGGTCCCTTCTTCAGAGAAGCAAACCGTGGCGGCAGCTCGGCTGAGCTCTCTTACCCCCCGTGGTGGGGGTCTCACGTGGCCCCCTAGACGCTCAGTCCTCAGCTGCCCCATTCTGGGCCTCACACAGGAATGTGACCCCGGCTCAGCCCCACCGCCCACCCAGTGGCTGGTCTGTGCTCAGCAGCCCTCCCCCAGGTGAGCCCCTCTGCACGGCAGCCCCCGAGTCTCTGCTGCCTGCCCGGCGTCTGAAGCCGGGGTTGCCGGTGGGCGGGTGGCCCCCGCTGCTGCTCCTGCCTGGCCTGGGCTGCGCGTGTGCGGGCGGCGATCGCTAGGCAACCTGGCGTTCGTTTCCTGGGGAACGGGACGCTTGCGGATGCCGTGGGTGGGCGTCTGCTGGTGCAGCCCCCAGCCTCTGCCCGTGGCCTCGGGGGGGCTCTCATGGTTTGGCTGTGGGGTCGGTTTCCAGTCACAACTGGGGTTTCTTACCCTGGCCGTGAACTCCGCGAGCCTTGTCCAGTTAACCTCCTGCCGGCGCCCCGGCGTGTGGGCGGAGGGAGAGGGAGGCTGCCCTCAGGGCCGGGGGGGTGGCATCGGCATCTGACAGTCCTGTCTCTGTCTGCAGGCGTCGCCCTGGTCTTGGCGTATAGCCCCCCCAAGCCTCACGTGGGATGGACCGGCCATGGTGGGGGGGCACCTGTCCCTCGGTACAGGGGGTGTCGGGGCTCAGCTGCCCTGGACGTCTGCTCCGGGCGTCCAGGTCCTGGGGGGCTGCTCTGCTGCTGGGAGGGACCAGGGTGGCCTGTAGCCCCCCGCCTTCTGAGGCCAGAACAGCAACCTTTCCTCGACTCCGAGTCTGGGGGCACTGCAGCCGTGTCCAGGTGGAGGGGGCACCGTCAGGGCAGAGGCCGCTGGGCGGTGACTGCGGGCACCTGGGGGCCACAGCTCCAAGTGGGACCCTCACGCCTCTGGGGGCCACCGGGAGCCGAGCCCACCAGGGCGGGGGGGGGGGTGGTGGTAAGAGGCCGTGGCAGACGTGTGTGGCTCCTCCCGTGTGCTGGGAACGTCTACCGCCGTGCGGTCCCACAAGGGTCAGCTGGCCCCAGGGTTGTTGGCGTGCCCCCGCCGAGCAGGGTAGCCCAGGTGGCCGCCGTGGGCGGGGGGAAGGCTGGGCCCGGCCGACACGGTGGCCGAGGCCGGAGTCCGTCTGGAAGTCCGAGGGCACGGAGAGCCGCCCGTGCCGACTGGTCTGAGGCCACGCGTGTCTGACTGGACGGGAGAAATGGGGTTGCTCTGTCGTGGCCGGGGGTGCGTCGCAGTGCAGCGCGGGGCCGGAGGTCAGGAGGGGCCCGCAGAGCCCAAGGCCCGCCCGCCGGTGTGTGGCTCTGAATGGGGCATTGGGGGCGGGAAAATGCTGCTTCTTAGGCACTGAGGGGAGTGGCCAGGGCCCATGCTGCCTGCTGGGCCCCCCAGGGTGTGCCTGCTGGGCCGAGGGCAGGTGCCCCAGTCTGCGCCGGAGAACCTGGAGGACCGGCCCTCCCCGAGTCGGGCCGCTGCTGTCGTGACGGGCCCCCGTCCCTGGGGTGCTGCTCTCTGGTTCCTTGCGCTCCCCCACAGTGGGCCCTGTGCCATTCCCACCAGGGCAGTCTGGGCACCTCTGGTGGCCCTCCCACCCCATTTTATCCCGCCCCCGTTTGGAGGGCAGTGGTGCGGGTGAGGCGGGGGCCTGGCCCACTTTTGCCCTCGAAGGTTTGGGGCCCTGGTTGTGGCCCCGGGGCGGTGGGCAGCCGCAGCTGTGGCTTTGGGCAGGCTCCTTGGCCCAGGTTCCAAATGGCCATGCAGTCAGCGCCACGAGGGCCCCGTCTGGGGCTGTGCTGTCGTTCGTCGGGGCCCAGGCCCCAGGCCGGACCGCTGTCCCCCTGCGTGTCCCAGACCTCCCCCGGCAGCCCCGAAGGGAGCGGTGGTCCCAGCTGGGCCCGGGGCAGCAGCGCCGCGGGAGGGCGCACCCCTCAAGCTTCCAGAGCTCACCGCCGGCCCCAGGAGGTGGCAGATGGAGTCCCACACACCCGGGGGGGGGGGGGGCGCGCGTGTGTGCCTGCGGCCGGCTGCGTGCCCACCGACCCCGCCCGCTCCCGCAGGTATCCGCCCCCAGATCATGAACGGCCCCCTGCACCCCCGGCCCCTGGTGGCACTGCTGGACGGCCGGGACTGCACCGTGGAGATGCCCATCCTGAAGGACCTGGCCACCGTGGCCTTCTGTGACGCGCAGTCCACGCAGGAGATCCACGAGAAGGTGGGGTCCCCGTTCCCACGCTCCGGGCGCCCTGGCCCGTCCCCCCCTCACCTTCCTCCAAGCATCACCCCCCGTCCTGCCTCTCCAACCGCCCTACCCCCCAATTATGTCACCAGTCAGCAGGTGCGGGCTGGGCCCCCAGCCTGTGCTCTGCTCGCCCGTGGCAGGTGCTGAATGAAGCCGTGGGCGCCATGATGTACCACACCATCACCCTCACCAGGGAGGACCTGGAGAAGTTCAAGGCCCTGAGAGTGATCGTGCGGATCGGCAGCGGCTACGACAATGTCGACATCAAGGCTGCCGGCGAGCTGGGTGAGTGCGCGCCCGGCCGGGGCAGACCGAGCCCTCGGAGGAAGGGGAGCCTCCCCGGCCGCCCAAAGGTTGATCTGGGCCCCCGGCCTCCGCCTCCGTCTGTCCGGCCCGCGGCTCGGGCACTGCTGACGGAGGCGGCCTCGTCGCGGGCGCTCCACAAGGCCTTGTGCAGCCTGGGGCTCTGTCGGCCTTGGGGCCGCTCAGCTCGTGTCCCCTGCCCGGCGCGGTGGCGTGCCCATGGGTGTCCTCATGAGGGGTCTGTTGCAGAGACCCTGGACCTCAGGGCAGCGCTCCTGGGGTGACCCGCTGTGCTACAGAGGGCGGCCCTGCTCCCCACCCCAGGGGCTCCCTGGCGGTCTCACCGGGGCCTCGCCCCACATCCCTTGACGAGCCCCCCGTGGCCCCGGGTCTGGCACTGAGAGCGAGCCTGGGAGCTAGGGCTCCGGACGCCGTGGGCCCCCGGAAGCCGCTTGGCTGGCCAAGCCCGTGTGGCGGGCGGGGGGACACTTGCCCCTTGTCGCTCTTCCTCACACAAAGCCTGGAGCCTGCCCTGACCCCCTGTGCTGGGTCCCAAATGCTCCTTTCAGAGCGCAGGCCAGGTGGACACCACGAGGGCGCACCAGCCGCCGTGGGACTGGGCTCAGGGGCCCGGTGTTGGGGGGAGGTGCCAGTTCTGACGCCTGTCCCTCTTTAAAAACACGCCAGCCCTGCCAGACCGGGTGAGGGCCGCAACACGAGCCTGGGGGCCTGCACGCCTGCTCCCAGCGGGTCCGGGCTGGCACCGGGCAGGCTCCCCACTGTGTGGCCCTCACGCAGACCGCGGTCCGGGCTGGCCCTGCCCCTCTGGCCACCCACCGCTCCCTTCCCAGGGACAGGTCTGAAAGTATAGTGTGACCAGGACGTGGGGTCACTGGGGGCTGCGGGTGAGCCCAGCCCTGAGTGGAAGTGGAGTGGGGGTCCCTGGGCGTTAGAGCCGGAGGGTCTGTGTCCCCTGGTGGCCGGCAGGCAGGCCCGAGACCCTGGCTGAGCTGCCTCGGGGCCACACACCCCAGTTCTGCTGCCGCACCCCTCCGCCGGGCAGGTGGGAAGACCCAGGCTCCCACAGAACTTGGGGGGAGGGGGTCTCACCCCAGGCCCTGCCCTTTCCAGGGATCGCCGTGTGCAACATCCCGTCGGCAGCGGTGGAGGAGACGGCCGACTCTACCATCTGCCACGTGCTCAACCTGTACCGGAGGAACACGTGGCTGTACCAGGCGCTGCGGGAGGGCACGCGGGTGCAGAGCGTCGAGCAGATCCGGGAGGTGGCCTCGGGAGCCGCCCGCATTCGTGGGGAGACACTGGGCCTCATCGGCTTTGGTACGTGCCCGCTCTGCCCTGTGTCCCCTGCCCAGGGATGGCCCTTCCCTGGGAGCTGAGGGCCCCTGCAGGACTGCCCGGGACGGGGCTGCTGCCTGGGGTGGGAGGTCAGGGTCAAGGCTGCTTGCGTAGCAGTGCGGACAGCTCAGCAGGAGGCAGGGCGGCAGGGAGGGCTCTGTGCAGCAACAGGCAGGATCGGGCCAGGAGCAGAGCCTGGCGGTGGAGGGGCGCTGACACCCAGCGCCCGCGGGCCTCCGATGCCGGGCTGGGGCCACGTGCCGGCAGGGAAGGGTGGAGTCTGGAGGTGGTGCTCCAAGGTTATCAGCCTGGGGAGCTCACCTGAGTGGGGGCAGGGAGAGCTCTTCCTGGTGGCTCTGGGCGGCTTGGGGCAGGTTCCTGAGGGAAGGTGAGCGTAATGGGAAGCCCCGAGGCACTTGCTGCTAGTCCACAGTGACCTTCAGGAAGGCACTTGACCCCCTGCCTGCTTCCTGACCTGTGCGTGGGAATGGGGTGATGGGGGCCGGGCCGTGGGGGGCCAGGCCTGGCCTTCAGAAGGGTCAGAGGCACTGGGGTCTCCTCGGGGGTGCACGTCTTCCTGGCTCCTGGTCGGGGTCTAAGAACCCGGGCAGCGGGTGATCACGCTGAGGAAATCGGGTGTCGAGTTTCCTGCGGGGACCGGAAGGCAGGCAGGCAGGCTCGTTGTGGGACCCACGGCGCCCTCTGCTGGGTGCTCCCGTTTCCCGCTTCCCTTTGGGCTCGGGGAGGTGGCACTCGGAGTTTGAAGGGTCTTGGAGCCTCAGGCTGTGAGTGGCCCAGTCTCGTGACAGACCGCTTGTTTCCTCGGCTTCCGGCTCCAGCCATCCCGCAAGTTGCCCCTGCCCCGATGCCCTGTGCACACCGACTGGCATCTCCTTGCTGCCCGCTCAGGGAGGCGGGGTCCTAGGTGGCCCCTGGTTTCTCCCTCCCTGCACGTCCGAGCCCTGGTTCTAGAGAAAGGTTTATTCTGTGCTCTTCCCAAATCAGCCCCTTTTCAAGCATCAAAGGTTTTTGTCTTCAAGCTGCAGACTGTGACAGGACCCCACGGGGCCCGTCCCTGGGGCTCAGGGTTGGTGCACACGGTGGCCACCTGGGAGTGGGGAAGGCCTGCGTGTCCCATGTGGTGAGGTGGTTTCTCATTTATTTGCTGGAGGCCCCAGCTGCAGGCTGGAAGGGCACAAGGCTCCGCCCACCGGTCAGGACCCAGCCCAAACACCTGAGTGTTGCGGCGCCCCCACCCCCCATCACAGCGGGTGCCCACAGCACTCTGTGAGCAGGCCGGGCCAGACCGCAGGGTCAGTTGGGTCGCTGCACTCTTTCTGTGAGCAAACCTGGTGCTCCGAAGAGAAACGAAGCCCAGCTCTGGCTGGCACGGCTCAACTGGACTGAGTGCTGGTCTGAGAACCTGGACTGTCACCGGTGCGACTCCCAGTCCGGGCACATGCCTGAGTCGTGGGCCAGGTCCCCAGTGGGGGGCACACTGGAGGCACCCAACCGGTGCATGTGGGGTTCACTAGAAAGCAACTCGGGCCCAGACGTGGCGAGCACTGGAGGCCTGGCCCCAGACAGGCCTGGAGAGGGCCGGCTAGGGGCTCCAAGCCGTCGGCACACAGTCCCTCCAGCGGTAGCCTCGGGTGGGCCTAGCTGCCAGCAGGGAGGGGCACCTCGCAAGGCCCGGAGCCCGAGCCCCAGCCTGGCAGGAGGGGCCGCGCACTCGCTCACTGGGGCGCTCTCTCTGCACAGGTCGCACAGGGCAGGCGGTCGCTGTTCGAGCCAAGGCCTTTGGATTCAGCGTCATCTTTTATGACCCCTACTTACAGGACGGGATAGAGCGGTCCCTGGGTGTACAGAGGGTCTACACCCTGCAGGACTTACTCTATCAGAGCGACTGCGTCTCCTTGCACTGCAATCTCAACGAACATAATCACCACCTCATCAACGACTTTACCATAAAGCAGGTAATTGGTACTGGGTGCCCACAGACCCTGGACACGCCCGGGGTCAGGGAAGACAGTCCCCTGAGAGGATGTCCGTGAGCAGCCAGGTGAGGGCCCTCGGTGGGGTGGGCCCTGTTGAGCAGGACGGCAGCTGCCCAGGGCCCCGCCCCCTCTATTCAGGCCTGGCCGCCGAGAAGCGACAGGCCAGGCCCAGCCTCGCTACCGCGTGTCCCCCTCTCGGATCCGCAGACACCGACCTTGCCTTCCGCAGTCAGACTCCACATGTGAATGGCCAGACCCGCGGGGCTCCTGGTCTCTGGCCTCAGCCTCCGCTTACCTGGCCTTCCCTCCCCCCCACAGATGAGGCAAGGAGCGTTCCTGGTGAACGCGGCCCGCGGCGGGCTGGTGGACGAGAAGGCCTTGGCCCAGGCCCTCAAGGAAGGCAGGATACGAGGGGCAGCCCTCGACGTGCACGAATCAGAGCCTTTCAGGTGGGTCTGCGGCGGGGGGGGGCTGGCAGCCTGAGTTCCTGGGTTTGCACCGGCCCCGCACTGGGCCTGGGGAGCGTCTCCAGACTGACAGGCCCTGGGTAGGACCCAATTCTCATAAGGGTGGGGGTGCATTCTAACTGTGAACGGGTCACAGGGCCCCGGGGGTTATCAGAGACCGGGGCGGGGGGGGGGGGGGAGCAGGAAGACAGGGAGGCAGGGCCAGTGTGCGGCCTCACCTGTGCCCCAGACTGACTGACTCCGCTCTGGGGCAGGCCGGCCCTCCATAGAGGGAATCGTTCCTCCTCGGGGTCCCTGATACTCCTAGCACTGATTATGGCACAGTTTCACCGGGAGAGTTCTTCAGTCCCCAGCCCCTGCAGCCACCTCCCCCAGCCCGGGGGGCGGGGATGTGCCGCCCACTCTTCTCACGCGCTGCGTTTCTGTGCCCTGGTCCAGCTTTGCTCAGGGTCCCTTGAAAGACGCGCCGAACCTCATCTGCACGCCCCACACGGCCTGGTACAGCGAGCAGGCGTCACTGGAGATGAGGGAGGCCGCGGCCACGGAGATCCGCCGGGCGATCACAGGTGAGCCCCAGCCGCTCCCCCATGCCGCCCATGCTCAACGCAGGAGGAGACCTGTTAACGTGGGGGTCAGCCGGGGTCAGCACTCCAACCCGGGAGGGTGCCCCCCGCCCCCCCTGCAGCGAGCGTGAGGCTCCTCTCTGCCTGGGCAGAAGGCCGCTGTGAAAATGGAAGGGCCAGTCCTTCCATTAGAGTGAGAGACTCAGCTGACAGATTCCCTTCAGTGCCAAGTTATATTTAAGTCGTTTCCATCTTTAAAAATACGTAGGTTGATTTTAATTTTAATCATCACATTCCAGGTCGCATCCCAGAGAGCCTAAGAAACTGTGTGAACAAGGAATTCTTTGTCACAACCGCGCCCTGGTCAGTAATAGATCAGCAAGCAATTCACCCGGAGCTCAACGGTGCCACCTACAGGTGAGGGGAGGGGAGGGCAGGTCCGGCCCGAGCCCAGGGGCAGAGGGCGGGCGTAACCCCGGGAGGCTGACCCAGCCTGGGGACAGGTGAGCACCGTGCCAGGAACCATGCTTCCTTCCGACGCCACTTCAAAGGCAGAGGCGTTAGTGGGAAAGATGGAGGCCGTCGGTGGCTCTGTTTTCCCGTTGGAACCCTCCGGCGGCCGAGCAGGGAGTCTCACTCGAGGTCGTTTTCCAGGGTGCTCTAGGCCCACACCGCTGGGCCCCGTAGAAGAGGAGCTGCGCCCCTACCCCCAGCAGGAAGTGGAGCGGTCTCGGGTTGGGCCGGGCACCCTCGCGGGGCCCGCGCTGTGCCCCGTAGGTAGGGCGCAGTGCAGTGGGCAGCCCCGGCCCCCCCGCCCCTGTAGCCCTGCGGAGGTCGCGGCTGACCAGAGAAACGAATGCAAACTCTCTCCTTAAATATATTGGGTGCATAGGTTCAAGGTCAGGACTAGCTGCGAAGGAAGTTCTAACGACGACATAGATACAGCTCCCTCGACCAGCAGAGAAAGGAAAAGGTGTGTTAGGTGCTCTGCGTCAAAAACAAACCGCTTGTCAAGGTATTTTTGCAAGTGTTGTAAAAAGTACTTATGCCTCGGCCACAGTGGCATCATTTGTGTTGACTGTTACAAACGTTTTGCAAAGCCAGCTATTGAAGACTCTGATTAAAGACATCTTTTGGTTGTATTTTTTAGCAATATCCATGTTTCCGTTACTTGAAAATTTTTTCTTAATGTTTTTATATTTCTTTAATTTCTTCTAGACTGTAATGAAGATAAATAAAATGTATTTTATTACATAAGTATAATAAATGCAGATTTGCAGCGTTTTTATTTTTGCATTCAGCACATACTAGTAATGAATGTATCTCTTGGATACATGCGGCCTACACCTTTTTTTTTGTGGTTTTTGTTTTTTGTGGTTTTTGTTTTTTGTTTTTAAGATTTCATTATTTCAGAGAAGGCAAGGAGAGAGGGGGGTACATCAGTTGGTTGCCTCCCACATGCCCCCAATTGGGGACCTGGCTGGCCCTGAAACCCAGTGCCCTGACTGCGAATCAAACCTTTTGGTTCGTGGGCTGGTGCTCAGTCCACTGAGACCCACCAGCCAGGGCAGTGCTCTGAGTGTTAGCTGAGACCTCCACAGGGTTAAGGGCCACACCCTAACTGTCCCTTGGCACACAGCGAGACCACGTGGCCCCCCTGGAGCACACTCTGTGCCCACAGGGCTCCAGGGCGGGCCCCACCCTTCGGAGTCCTCCTCCACCCACACAGAAGGCCTTGGCACCCAGGAATCACTCCACGGCTCCTCGCAGTGCCCGAGTCTCACTGCGCGCACCAGCCCCGTGTCGCTAAATGCCACGTGCCCTCCCACACACGGCAGCTCGTGCCTCCGGGCCCAGGGGAGGGCCCCTGGTGCTCTGACTGTGGCACGCAGCAGGCCGAGGGGGCCGAGGCCTACCCGGCCCAGGCAGACACGCGTAGTCTGCAAGAGGACTCGGCCGTCGGTTGGGGAATCCTTAAATCTGAGTAACTAATGAGTGCTTGGTACAAACTGGCTTCCACACACAGGGCAGAGACCACGGACAGCACGAGGAGGAGCTACTTGGATGCCTGACCTTGCCCACTTTTTCACAGAGGTTTATTCCTTGCTTTTGGGGGTAGGAAGGGCACCCCACCCATAAAAAAGACTCCAAGTTGGCAGAGCCAGAGCGTGGCGACGACTACCCTGGACTTACCTGCCCCTTCTCTGTGTTCCTCAGATACCCGCCGGGCATCGTGGGCGTGGCCCCGGGCGGACTCCCCGCCGCCATGGAAGGGATCATCCCCGGAGGCATCCCGGTGACTCACAGCCTCCCCACGGTGGCACACCCTTCCCAAGCACCCTCCCCCAACCAGCCCACAAAACACGGGGACAATCGAGAGCACCCCAACGAGCAATAGCAGAGGATGACAGGAGGTCAGATAAACCTGGGACCAAGAGACAGTGAGGAACAGACGAACGAAGAGGAAAGGAGCGTGCGGTCTTTCTGGCGGACTCGGGCGGGCGCGCCGCTGACCACGCAGCGTTCCGCTGAGGAAGAGCTGGAAGCTGAGACGCGGGAAAGCGGAAGACGCCTTCGCCTTCCGGAGGCCCCGAAAGACTGGGACGTGACTGGTTAACGACCAACTTCTGTTGTTGTGTGTTAAGTTTTTCATCTGTGCATCAAATCACAAAGAATAAACGGATCTTTTTCCTTTACCAGCCCCTTGGGCCCAGCAGGCCCCGAACACCTTGCTATAGAGAATGTTGCGTCGAGAGTTCCAAACATCCAAATAAAAATTGAGAGGCGATCCCGGCCCTGTGACCCCGGTCCCTCCGGTCCCCGGGGGCTGCTCCTGCTGCTGCTGGGAAGCCCTGCACCCGTGTCCGTGGCCGGGCTGCGGGCGCAGGGCCTGGCCACTCCCGGCTCCTGCACAGAGAACTCGACCCTCTGAACTGCGCGCCGCGCGGGCAAGTCGGCCATGAGTTCAGTGATATACCCTCTAATGATGCAAAAAGTATTAAGTTTCACAAGCTGTTTGTACTCAAATATATTTTCTCAGTTCAGATCCTCAGCTATTTTATTGAGTGGAAAGTCTTGAACTGAAAGAGTTCAAGAAGAATAATGTTGCATTTCCTTATGTCTCAGGAAACACTTTTTATGGTAACTTGTCAGATTGTCTATGAACAAACCCACTTTTTTAGACATTGATAAAGTCTTCTTTTCTTCACGTGATATTTTATACAAGAACACTTCAGGTGTGTTATTAGATGTGACTGATTTTAACAAATCCTATTAGATTTGTATCAGCTAGTTACATGTTATATTCATAGTCTTTTGTGAATCATCGCCTTTTTGTTTAAAAGATGGCCTATTTTGAGCCTTTGTATAGGTACATTCCTGTTTTTGTGACAAAAACCTTTAAAACTGTCCCAACAGAAAAACGATGGCTATCAGAAATGTTTTGTTTTAGTGTGAGTTACCGTTACTGTATCTGTTTATTGTAAAGGTGGACATTTAGCGTTCAGTGCAGTTTTCAATAAAAGGTAATAAAAATTTCTGTTCTGAAACTCAAGTACATCTCACCAACGTAGAAGTCCTCTACTTGAGATGTTTAAAGGCAACTGCATTTTCAAACCAACAGCCAGCTTTCAGCTCGTGTCACTGCGGGGCTCCAGCACAAACCACCTGTCACCTGCCTGTCCGATGCCCGGACTCGAGGGCGCTGGTGCCCGTCTCACGCCTCACACTGAGCCCATCACTAGCGAATCGTGCCATTCTTAGGATAAAATAGGTTAGAATTCAAGAAACAAAATTGGTTATGTTTTAGAGTTCTGACTTTAATTTACCCAAAGGCAAAATCACCTGGCTCAAGCATTAATGCAGGAAAGTGAATCTCAAAATTTTTTAAAACAGTATTTACAAAGAAATGTTGCAAAAATGATTAACGTCGGCCACTTCCATCTGTTGGTAACTCTGAAGTTGACACAGTGGATCTTTCTCATGAGATGGCGCTGAACCCCTTTGTCCTGGTGGTGTCCGCAGGTGTCGAGTCCGACAGTCCCCGCACCGCCCTCCCCCGACCCCCTCACCACCCTTCTCGTGCCATCAAGTTGGAAGTCCTGGCACCTGAGGGCACCAGCCGCCTGGCTCATCTGCAGGCCGCGGTCCCGCCCGTCACAACTCGGCCGTGACACAGCACGCCGCATCAACCTCACCAGGCTAGAAGCGGAGCACACGGCCACTGACCTCTCCCTCTGGGAGCAGCGGGGCAAGCTCACCGTCATCTTGATGACCACTGTCCAACAGGCAACCCACGGGGAGTGGCAGGCGCGCGGGAGGAGACCCCCGAGGCCTGTGAGCCGCAGTCCTCCCTACCAGGAGTCTGCGGCACAGCGAGCCTAGGGGTCGACGACGAGGCAGGGCCCGGTCCACGGGGCCCTGTGCTCCCCTGAGGACACACAACCCCCAAGGCTCCCCGCACAGAGCTGTCGCACTAGGTCCACACAGCTACTGCTGTCCAGTCGACCCAAGACGCACACGCCTGTCGCCTGATCCCACTGTCACCTTTAGGAAGGACCACACACACTGTCTGGGGGCAACAAATATGGCTGTTTAATAGTTCAAGAGCTTAACGCAGCATAGATTCACCCAAAATGCTGGCCTTCAGCAGCCAACCCGCCGTGAAAACCATTTAGGCCCCACCTGTGTTGAGCTGAGCCTACAGGTGGTCTAGAGCCTTTCCCACAGGGAAGAGGCTGCACCTGTCGGCCTGGGTGTGGTCAGGGTCACTGGTCACGAATAAATAACTAGAGGCACCTGGAGGAAAACGAGGCTCAGCAGGCCGGGCCCCCGGCGGCGCCGGCTCCACGCGAGCCCAGGGGGGCCGACTAACTGCCCAGATGCTTCCCCTCAGACAGCACGGGCTCCTGCAACTGGGCGGGCCGCTCCCGCTGACACAGCAACGCCAGGGGGCGCTCTGCCCGCTGGAGAACCGCGCCTGCACGTGGAGGAAGGTTTACAGGCACGCTACACAACTAGGTAGTCAGAAAGGCAGCCTGCTCAGAAACCAAAACAACCTTAATTATGGACCACAATGAAAGGAAATCACAGAAAATCAATTTGTAAGAAAATACCAACCACTTGGAACAGTAACATTTACATGACGATGTGTCAAAAAGCCCGACCCCGTCCCCGTCCCCGTGGAGTCGGACTGCCAGCATCCTTCCTGCAGGTGTCGGCGAGCAGCACGGGGGCCCTGCCGCCCCGTGAACACGGCGCGGCGTTTGGGGCGGGAGGGGGAGCCGAAGACGGGGCACCTCCCGGCCGTCTTCTGGTGTCAGTAACCGAAACCGAACTCGGGTTGTGAACACTGCAGCATCATCTCACAGAACTCGGAAGAAAACGAGAAGCAGATACTTTAGTTTTCACGGCCTTTCCGTCCGAGGGAAGAAGCGGGCTCCTCCGCAGACTCTGCCGGGCCGAGTCTCGTGCCAAGTGCTGGTCGGGGCCCCGAGTCTGCGCGCTCCTGGGACGGGTCCGAGCTCTGGGCCCGTCCCGAACGCATACCTGAAGTGGTCAAGCCACACTTCTCAAAGTCTGTCCACCTAAGATTACAGTTCTTAAACTTTAAATAAGAGTGGCCACAATTAACCAACATGCAAACATTCTCAGAATACTCACTGAGAAATTCATTAATACAATGCACTTACCACCTTACTGCATCTTTACACCTTTACTCTGCACTGAACAGATGCTCCCCTGAGCCCAGGCAAAGGCATGCCGTTCTGATACCACCTGCCTAAAGCGGGGCTGACGACGAAACAGGAAGACTCCCGGGGGCCTCTGCACGGCGGTGCGGGAGCCGCGCAGCCGCCGCACCGCCCACTCGGCACGAGCGCCTCCCCAACGTGCGCCAGGTGGGGGCCTGCTCTTCCACACAAATGAACACCTAAGCACTGAGAGGGGGCACACGAGAAACTTTAAAAAAAAAAAAAAAAAAACCAAAACAAGGGAACAGTATCTATGTAAAGTTCACTCAATAAAAAATTTAATTACTTTCCTTGTAGTTTGTTCCTTAAAGATTTGATTTTATTGGGCACAACAGGAACTAAATTATTAATAAAATAAGCTTGTTTTTATTTTTATGTTTTCCTGTGGAGAATTTGTACAAAAAGTTTCCAAATCTCTACGGAGCTCTAGTGAGACTTAATGTAAAATGGATCTTTTAAGATGCAAGTAGAATGCCAGGTTCTACTTAAAAAAAAAAAGTCTCGAAGGAACAGAGTCGTCTGCCGTGTGCTTTTGGAGGTGCCCATGCTGGGAAAAACTTCTCATAATGTGAAGATGCTGGTACGACTTTTCCTATTACACAACTTCTTGCACAACCACATGCGCTACATTTATAGACAGAGTTACGGTTTGGAAGGAAGAGTGCGGTCCTAGGGAGGTTCGTTTTTACGGACGAGTCCAAACGGAGTTCTTGGTGTCCCGCCCGGCAGACGCGCCGCCGCCGCCCCCGCCCCCACTGGGCGTGGGTCAGCAGCTGCCTCCGAGCAGGTCCGGCTGGGCCGCGGGTTCCATGCCACGCGCACCACGTGGAACACCGCACTAACTTTGGGGTCACTACAGAACTGATACCTTGGTCTTCAGCTTGTGTTTCTCATTCATCTTCGTCGTCTTCGTCTTCCTCCCCATCAGACAGGGACGCACAAGGCCGGATCTGCCGGTAGCGGTCAAGCCACTTCTCCACCATGTGTGTGACCAGGGGGTGGTTCCGCCGCCGAGAGCTCTTCTGCATGGCGACGAGCACGCCGCCCTCCGTCACGCAGCAGTCCAGCCACTCCCGGAGCAGCTTCTCCTGCTGCTCCTCGTTACCCAGCTTGCGGGGGAATGCGGAGGAAAGGGTGAGACACAGCAGGTCAGAGACCCCATAGGAAACATCTGTGGCACGAGCACCAACAAAAAAGCCCAAGCAACCAACTGTTTTAACGTGGCTCCAACCGCTGGTGAATTGGATGATGAAAACCCAGTTTCCTGTGGTCAACAGGGAAACTCACTCAAAAGCCTCGAGGGAAACACAAGCTAGTGATCGTCTCTCTGATATAACGGCAGAAAACAAATGTCTAATGGGCTAATTCTGGCAAAGAAAAGGCTAAAAAAAGCCACAGCTTCAAACATACAACGAGCTAAGTTTACCCAGAAAATTACCTACAGGCTAAAGTTATAAATTATGGTCTATGAATCTTTCTTAATGTCATTGTAAGAGTTTTATAATAATTACTAGCGTGTTAAATAAAAGAACAATAATTTTATAAGAATACGGGTTTGCTGAGATGTTCTTTCCCACATTCTCGCCACCTTCTGCCCGGGCAGACGGGGTGAGCTCTAAAAGGCCGTGGTGAGCCCACACCGCGGCCTCCGTCCTCCTCGCCCAGCCAGTGCCCCCGGGTCTGCGGGAGGCACCGACCTCCTGCAGCTCCTGCAGCTCCGGATCCGGGGCTGCTTTCCCAGTGACGCCGTCCCTTGTCCCTTCCCACCTAGCCCCGTCGCACACCCTGCCCCCTCCCCCTCCCTGGCCCCTCGCCCTGCTTTTCACTTTCTCAGCACTGCCCACCCCCCACGGGGAGGGACTTTGTCCTGGCCTCACCGCGGTGTCCCCACCCAGCGCGCCCCGCCCAGGCTCTCAGAAAGTGACCCTTTCACAGCCACGCCCCAGAACCGCACGCGCACCCTACGCTGGGCCCCGTGCGGCGTGGCCGCCGCGAGCGCCCACGGGAGAGACGCGTCTCACCTCCTGCGCGGAGAGAAAGTGCACGTGAAGCAGCTTCCTTTCGCTGTCCACCAGAGGCAGGAAAGTGATGGTGACGTCGTCGTCAGTGTTCAGGTTAGCACCAGCACCTCGGTTGCCGTAGCCATCGTTCTCCATGGCAACCAAGGCAGAGAAGTGGCCTCTCGTGTAACCCAGAGCGATCGGGCTTTTCCAGCAGAAACTCTGTTCCCACAACAAAGGCAAATACACACCTGGAAAGAGGGAGGAAAATCACAATCAGACTTTCAGGACATGGCTGCAAACTGCATTATATTAATTCAACAAAGACTTCAGGTACACTCTTGAGGCATGCCTACCTTGAAACCGCGTGTACCCTAACGTCTCTCCCCGGAAGCTTTTGTAGTACTTGACCCCATACACTATGATCGGCCGCCGAAGGATGTGCGCAAGGACAAAGATGTGCGTCTGTTCCAGGCTGGCCCCGGGCTGCGCAGAGCGAAAGGGAAGGAAGCAATTCCCCTTTGGAGCACTACCGCTCACTGGCAAACGTGTACGACACAAACCAACACAACCCTCCTTCGGCACACCGTCTCCACGCATTCAGAGAAACGGTAATAATGCTGCCAGGCTACGTCAGTGTTCGATCCCTCGAACATCCAAGTGCCGTGGAACGAAAAGGCCTGTGGTCTGTGTGCAGGCACCTTCAACCCGGTGAAGTGCTGGTCTCGGGAACACGGGACCCAGAGGGCAAGGCACGGTTCGTGGGACTGCCTTCCAGCCCCGAGACCTGCCCGCGCCCTACCACGCGGCGCTGCGGGAGTACGGCTGCCCTTCGGACAGTGTTGCTGCTTAGTGAGAAGCGCGAGCCCCGCCTGCCCCGCAGCGAGGTCACAGAGGTCATTTAGCAGACGGCAGTAGCGACCAGGACGCAGAGGGCTTCCCTGGGCAACCCCGGGGACTCAGGCCGCGGGGCTTACTTTTGTAAGGAGGCGGCATGCCTTGAAGCTCTCTTACCTGGCTAGCGAGAGAGAGTATAAACGCCCAGTCTTCTTGCCACTGCTCTTCCCTCAAGGAAAAGTGTAAACCAAAGCTCTGAGAGTACCATGACTCCCAGTCTTTCCAGCGTGTGTAAAACCTAAGAAAACAAGACAGTAAGAAAGTGCACCTATAGCCACACTTAACGTTCCGGTCATTTACTTAATGGAGGCTCTAAGCAATTCACTTTCAAAGATTAGCAATGTTATTATTTTCACCTGGCCTGCAATATATTTTTCAGATTAAAAATGCTTCCACTCTGCTAACGGCCATCTTTAACACATCCTCAGACTGAACCTGGCGCACTGCCCACCGGGTTTTCATCAAAGCTTCAAACACTAGCGATGAGAACAGTTACTTTCAATGGTCTGCTCTTAGTCTGCAAGTTCAAGAAACAACCCGCTGAAGGCCACCCGAGATGCAGGATGCAACCAAAGACGTGCGGCGTTCAGAGAATTAAGCAAAACCAGACATAATTATGCTCAAATGTGTGATTCACTGTTTTACAAAACAGTCCAGCCAAGACCTCTGAAGTAAAGGCAGACATTTAACCTGTGACATCCCATTTCACCCTCTTACAAAGAATTAAAAATCCTGGTACTTTTATGTATTTGAACTTGAGGTTAAGAAAAAGTGAACGACAGGACAGAACCTGTCACCACCGCCAAGCAGCTCTGGCGGGGGCGGAGACAGGGTGCGGGGCGCCGCACGTGTCTCTCGGTGAGCGAGCGGGGCTCCGCGGAAAGGCGCGCACGCAGGGTCTGCTCTTGGCTGGCCAGAAAAGTACCGACCAGTTTTCTGCTCCAGGTAATCAACACTTTTTTAACCAGGACCCTGTATTTCAAAGATAAAATACAGTGTTCTTTCAAAACACCTAAGAAACACGGGAGTATGCGGGAATGCACCGATGACGAAACATACCGACTCTCATCCTCACCCGAGGGCACGTTCCCACTGCTGCGGAGCAAGGGGGTCCAGAGACAGAGAGAAGGAGACACACACACACACACCCCACCCCCCCCCCCCCCCACGGCCAGCCGCCTATCCGCACGCTCCCCAACCAGGGACCGAGCCTGTGACCCTTCAGCCTGCGAGATGACACTCCACCCAGCCGAGCCGCAACGAGGACCAGGAGGAGCGCCACAGAACACAGAGGGCTGTCACGAGCGGGGGGTGTGCACTATTCGGGCTCCTTGGTCAGAGCCCAGACTCCCTTTACAAATGAGATCGCTGAGTCTCCGGAAATGAAAAGACGGCACACTCGAAACTCCTCAAAGACGACTGCAGAACAAGGAAGTTCAAAAAAGACACACTTTAAAAATAAGCATGGTAAAATAACCATGCCTGCCACACACAGACCTAAACTCAGACTTCCTGGCTCGTTAAGAACAGAAAACCAAACCGAATCCAGGAACACGTGACAAAGTGGTTTAACATTCAAAAATCCATTCCATGTTCATGGATTACAAGAGAATGTCATCAACCCGACGACACCCGCCCAACCTCACCGCAGGGCTAACACAATCACTACCCAAATCCCCGAGGACTTTCTTGCGGAAGTGAATATGGATCCTAAAATTTTTATGGGAATCCAAAGGATTAGAATAGCAAAAAGAATCTTGAAAAACAAAGTACAAAGTTGAAAGACTTACAATCCTGATCTTTAAATTTACCACGAAGCTACAAACCATCACGATAGTCTGATGTTGGCTGAAGACAGACATACGGATCAACAGGGAAAAAAAGAGTCCAGAAACAAACCTTTGTTTTTATGGTCAAATAATTTTCAACACAAGTGCCAGGACAAATGAATGGGGAAACAAGAGTCTTTTCAGTAAACGGTACTGAGATACCAACACGCAACACTGATCTCATTGGATCTTGACTACCTCACACCTTACATAAAACTCCACTCAAAATGGATCACAGACCGTAAATGTAAAAGCTAAAACTGTAACATTCTTAGATAAAAACACAGAGGTAATACTTTAAAATCTTGTTTTTAAAATTGAAAACGAAGATGGACATGCCCAGAGCAGCCACGGGGCACGCAGGACAGCTGGGCAGCGCGCACAGAGGCGGAGGCCCCAGGAAAGACCCGAAGGAGACGCCGGGGACTGGAGACCCGGGGACCGGGGCGGACGACGCCCCCACCGCCGGGCTCGGCGGGCTGGACGCATGGAGGGAAGACTCCCTGGTCGCAAGGACGCGTCAGCAGAAGCTTCCAAAACCGGGAACAGAGAGAACGCAGGTGGAGAAAAGAACAGAATTTCACAGAACTGTGGGACAACTACGGAAAGTGTAACATGTAACGCGATAGAAATAACAGAAGGAAAAGAAGAAAGTAACAGAAGAAATTATTTGAGGTATTAATGAGCGGGAATTCCCCTAAATTACTGTTAGAACATACCACAGACACGAGAAGCTAAGAAAACACCAAGGAGGAAAAAGTATCAGAAAAACCACACCCAGACACACCCTATTCAAACCACAGAAAATGGAAGATGAAGACAAAGTCCCCGCAGACCCCCTGCTCGGGCGGCGTCCCCAACGCAACCTTTGCCAGGCCCCGCGGAGACCAGGCCAGCCGGGAGACAGAAGGAAGCACAGTCCAAGCCCGGAAGGAAAGACACCCACCTAGAACTCCACACCCTGGGAGAGTAACCTTCAAAGGTGAAGGAGAACCAAAGAGTTTCTTGGACAAACAAAAACTGAAAGAACCCGCTGCCACAGACCTGCTTCAAAGGAAATGTCAAGTTCTTTAGAGATTATATACGTGTGCGTGTTCTTTAGAGATCACACACACACACACACAAATATATACATGTCAGAAACTCCGATCTACATAAAGGGCAGCAAAGAAATAAGCGCAGGTAGAATAAACACCATCTATTCTGAAGGACACGTCCTTTTTTTAACCATGCTATGCGCCCAGTAAGGTTACCGCTGAGGCTTGCCCACCGGGGAGCTATTTTTTTCTTGTTCAGGTGTCCACAAATGTTTACTACACTGCGTGCTCTGATCTGTAATTCAGCTCTCAAGAAGTAACATCTTGCTCTAATTTTTAAATTCCAGAGGGTACTTTCACCGGTAAGCACCCCCTGCACACTCCCTATCTGTCAGGCCACTGCGGCACTGGGGCTTCCACGAGAGACGACGCGACCTGCGGTGCCGGGTGCGGTCCACCGGCCCGGGCAGCCCCTGAGCGCTGGCGGAGAGTCCACCACCAGCAGGGCCCCGAGGGCACGGAAAGAGACCGGGGCAACGCGGTCGTCTGGAGGCGCCACTACAGTGCCGTGCGAACACGCAATTAGGCACGAGAGGGAAAAGCACATTTTGATGTTGACGCAGGGAAAGCCGCAAACAGCAGAAGCCACTGAAAAATGTGTACGAACGCCGGCAATGGCAGTGTAGTGTAATTTAGCCTCCTCCAGCCTCGATGCTCCCACTTACAATGTAATGACATGACAATCATAGACAAAACCAGGAAAACAGCCTAGGTCAGGTACATGCAAACCCGAACTCCTGAGTCGCAAACGAGCACCGTTTGCAGTGACTGACCCTTCCACAGGAGAGGTGACAGCTCAGGACCAGCCGTGTATGTGACGAGTCGCTCGCTGTGTTATGAAATGAAGAAATGGGGTCTTAAAATCGCCTGTGCCTCAGGGGGAGCGAGAACCTGCAGTATCCTGTCGAATAATCTGAGGGCTGAACTGAAATGAAATCGTACTTTGAAACACGAGCCAAGCCCCGGCCAGTGGGGCTCGGTGGTCTGCAGCGCAGTCCTGCGAACCAAAGGCCGCGGATCTGACCCCAGTCGGGGCGCAGGCCTGGGCTGCGGGTTCGGCCCCCAGTCAGGGTGCACGTGAGATGCGAGAAATCGGTACTTCTCTCTCACATCGATCTTTCTCTCCCTCTCTTAAAAAAAAAATCAATAAGCATGACCCTCAGTTGAGGATTTAAAGGTGGGGAAAAAAAGAAACCTCCTCAGTTTACCCAATACGTTATGTCATCGGTTTCTTGCTGAGACCCCAATTATGTGGGTCGTATTTAGAGCTGATAGATTAAACCACAGAGACTTGATATGATGTTTAAAGACCTTATTAATGTTTCAGACGACTACTACTACTTAAATATTTCTACTGTAATTACCTGAATATGAAATAAAAGAACAAAAAGAGAAAAGGCTGATATTCAAGTTAAAACAATAATAATTACATGCAAATTTTTATCTGTTCTCTCCCCACACTCTCAACCTCTTCTCAGGACAATTGCTTTCACACGAAGCAAGGCGGTACAAAACAAAGCTCAGCAAAAAGGTGTAAAAACCACTGAGATGGTCTCAGGGTCCCCACATCCCAAAGCAAAGCTCTTCTTCTTCCCTAGCTCCCCCAGGAAACGCACTGGGGACGGCGGCCGCTACCGCCCTGGACCTCAGCAGGCAAGGGGGCGGCTCACCAGTGCGAGCAGTCGTGCAGGCTGTCGTGCAGGGCTTTCCGAAGCACCGAGTCCTTGTCGTAAATGCCCCAGGTCGCCTGCAGCACCGAGTCAAGCAAGCAGTCCCCGGCAGTCCGGTTCCAAAGTGCGTAGAGCCGACTGTCCAAGCGCGTCGCCAATTCCAAGGACCAGTTTATAATGGGAGATTCTTCTTCTAACTCTACGTGAGGAATTGAAACAGCATGTTCATTTTCGCACCTACGCAATTAAGAGCAATTCAGTGGAGAGGAGACTCTGTTCTCCAGGTGTTAATGGGCTTCTGTGTAATTTACCAATAAACACCTAAATATATTTGTCAATTGAAATATAAACCCTTGGAATAGCTGAAACATGTTGTGGCTCTAGAATAAATTTACTCAACTTTTAAACACTTTACAATTTATATTCTAAAAAAATGTTTAATATGGAAATATTCTCATTCTGGAATAGGAAGTGGAAAACCAGTTTAAAAACTTTTATACCTTTATTTGCTTACTCTCAGTTAAGAGCTGTGAATGTGCATTTTTCACCAGTTTTATTAAAATACAATGAACATAATGATCATTTTTAACAGCACAATACATTGTTCTATAGGGCTTTACATTTTTAATTGGAAGTAAAAACAAGTTGACCATACACTAAACTACTCCAAACCAAACTGAACTACTACAAAACAAAGCAAGAAGTTTATTGCAATTAATGAAAAGTAAATTCTACTCATTAATTCCATGCCTACCTTTTTGAACGTCTCTGTCAAGTACCTCATCGAATAATTTTTCTTGGACTGTGGGAGGCAAGTCTTCGATATCTACAAAGAAAAAGAGTCTTAAGAGATCTCATGCCTCCCATCAAATCACCATGTTGTACATTTTAAACAGCTGATAATTTTATGTCAGTTACACTTCAGTAAAGATGAACTGAACGGACAAAAAACAAGGTCATCTAACACTCAAGCTAAAACAGCAATAATCACGGACAGGTTCGCATCCGTTCTCTCCCCACACCCTCCACCTCGGCTCCCTCCTGTTACTTCGGACGTGAGAGTCCTGGGAAAGCCAGTAGCCCGCTGGCCGCGGCGCGCAGTCGTCGGCCCTCTCCCTCCGGTGCTCCGTGCAGTTTACGGTCTGGGTAAAACCCGCTATCCTTTAAAACGTTTCTTAAAATACTGTAAGCTATTTTCAAGGCCAAATAAAAATTTAATCATCACTTAGGGTAAAACTTAAATACAAGGATGGGCAAAAGTAGGTCAAATTCCCAGGCATGATAAACATTGGACCAGAACAGAATGAAGAAATGAGAATCCAAAAAAGTGAGGAGAGGCTCAGGAACCTCCAGGACAACTTTAAACGTCCCAACATCCGAATCAGAGGAATACCAGAAAGAGAAGAGGAAGAGCAAGAAATTGAAAACTTATTTGACAACATAATTAAGGAGAACTTCCCCAATCTGGCAAAGGAAATAGATTTCCAGGAAGTCCAGGAAACTCAGAGAACCCCAAAGAAGTTGGAGGAAGCACACACCAAGGAACCCGAGGAAGCACACACCAAGGTACATCACATTTACATTACCCAAGATGAAAGATAAGGAGAGAACCTTAAAAGCAGCAAGAGAAAAGCAGACAGTTACCTACAAAGGAGTTCCCATAAGACAATCAGCTGATTTCTCAAAAGAAACCTTGCAGGCAAGAAGGGACTGGAAAGAAGTATTCAAGGTCATGAAAGGCAGGGACCTACATCCAAGATCACTCTATCCAGCAAAGCTTTCATTTAGAATGGAAGGGCAGATAAAGTGCTTCCCAGATAAGGTCAAGTTAAAGGAGTTCATTATCACCAAGCCCTTGTTATATGAAATGTTAAAGGGATTTATCTAAGAAAAAGAAGATAAAAAATATGAACAGTAAAATGACAACAAACTCAACTATCAACTGAACTTAAAAACAAACTAAACAAACTAGAACAGGAACAGAATCACAGAAATGGAGATCACATGGAGGGTTATCAGCGGGGTGGGGGAGAGGTACAAAGAATAAGTAGCATAAATGGTAAGTAGAAAATAGACAGGGGGAGGTTAAGAATAGTATAGGAAATGGAGAAGCCGAAGAACTTATATGTACGACCCATGGACATGAACTGGGGGGGGGCTGGTAGGAGGGGGGTGCAGGGCAGAGGGGAATAAAAAGGAGAAAAAAAATGGGACAACTCTAATAGCATAATCAATAAAATATATTTTAAAAAAGAAATAAATAAAATGGTTGCTGAATTTGAACTTAAAATTACCACCCATGATTACCTAAAGGATAAATCATAAGGATATAAAATAATAACAATAAGACAACAAATAATACAAATAAATAACACAATAACTAACTAGGAAATAATACACGAAAAAACTCTGTTCCTCATACTCACAACTAGAAACCTATTTTTGCCCACCCCTGTCCTGTATATAGAGAATGGATTTCAAGTGCAATCTGTCTGGTTGTAAAAGGCTTAGTTATTATCTCTTACCATTTGTGAATGCTCCTGCTCACGTCTGAACATAAAAGCTGAAAACACTCAGAACCAAGACGGAAGACTTATTTTAGAAACTGTGGAGTTTGGTGCATTTATTCAAAGCCAACTAATAAAAACCAACTAAGACATTTCCCAACTACCAGTGGGTAGAAAAATGAAAAGTTGCTCCATAAATATAGTAGAAATCCATGTAATGAGTAAAGAAAGTAATGACACTTTCAAAAGAATGCCAGTATCTTTGATTCAAACAACTCGATGCCCATCGAAAGCCTACATTCCAACCCTGTCCCCCATATGCCAGATAACCAACAGCTTTCTAATTTCAAACTAATGAGCATGGAAAGAAAAGAAGTGGACTGAGAATACTTTTTTAAAAGCCAAAGGGAAGAATAAATGGCGCAGGAGGGTTTTTTTTAGACACCGGAGGCCCACAAAGCAGCCAGCCACCAGCGGCCATCTCCCCCTGGGCCCACCAAGAACACCACCACGTGTACCGGTCACTTCCGCTATAAACAGAATAGCCAAGAGATTTAAGATGCACCTGTAACACCTGAGTTATCTGCTTTCTAGCTGAAACATTTTCACTAGACACGAAAAAATAACTAAGTAGAAATTTCTTCTCACACTGAAATGGGGAGGTTACCTGCCGGCAGTGTGAACGTGACCAGGTCAGTGAGGAAGTAGCAGGCGAAGTCCCCCTTCCTCTGGTGGAGAGAGGCCGCTATCTCGCGCCGGATCTGCTCCGTCAGCTCCGGACACACCATGGCTGGGATGCACTTGGCTGCTTGCTGAGACACCTGGACACCAACGAAAAGGCCCTTTGCATCTCACTGATCGCCAGAAGCAGAACACAGTAGTATTTAAAAGAAATCACCAACATCTCCCAGTAGCTCAAGGTGGTGAATTCTAAAATATATCGGGTGGCGGGTATTATTTCCTTACCCGTGGACATATGTATCAGTATGACGTCCCAGGAAAACAGCCGATTTACCCTCTGACTCAGTGATTCTACTTAAGAATGTATTCCCATCTCGCACGTGAAAACTTACGTAAACGGCGGTGCTCTCAAAGGCTCACCACAGGAGGGAGAGGGGGACCAGTAAACCACCTGAATAATAAGTAAGACTAATCATCTTGCCCTCTGCCCTCCGCCAAAAAAAATTCTTAAAAAGCAGGGAATCCCAGCTTATGGTAGAAAACACACACACACTATTTATTCCCCTGCTGCTTCGTTAAGAATACTTCAAGTACCCAACGTGGAATAAAGAAAACATGGTATTTTTAAAGGGTTAGTTCCTGCTGACTCCAACTCCCTTCCCACGTTTTACAGTTCCAAGTTTTCACGCAGCACCTGGCCCGCCCCAGCGCAGACAGGCGATGACCCCTCAAAGCCCAGCCCCCAGGGAACGAAGTCTGAGTGCTGGTGGTGCAGTGACTGCCGGGAAGAACCTCCCGGCTAGGGGACGGCTAGAATTTTCCTCTCCTTTCTACGTGACGAGCAGCAACACGTGTGCAAAGGTAATTAAGCTGTATGCCTTCTGCTGAGCTCGGGACACCTGTGCACAGAGAATTCTGAAATCAACGGCGAGGGCATCTGCCGGAGAGGAAACGAGTCCGTGCGACCCCTGAGTGGGCCAGACAGCTCCGTGCTCTGCTGCCCTGCAGGCCGCAGCCACTGCCGGGTCGGCCCCCGGGGAGGGGGCTTCCCGTCACAGGCGCGCTGTCGGACACCTTCCAGGAATCTGCTCAGAGAGAGTTTCGCAGACAACGTCATCTGTGTAACAGGCGTGGGACTTCACTGTACCCGCTGTGAAGTGCGTGCACGGGAAGAAGCCCTGCACCCCAACACGGTCACCAGACATGCCTCTCTGAGCCCGCCCGCATGGAAACCCAGCCCCACTGAACGGCACCGGCCAGGATGCCAGTCACAGTGAGAGTCTCGCTGCATCTTCAGTCTACGAACCCAATCTTTAAGACGCTCCGATGACAGAAGACCAAACATTCTCTACTTTCACAATATAATTGCCTGTTTCACACCAGTGTTAAAACGGGTCCCAAAAGTAAATTCAAAATCAGCTATTCCAGTCTGCTAACCCTCAGCCCCTTTCCAAACACCTGGCAAAACTTGTTCCAGAACAACTTGGACTGAAACCCGAAGAGTGCACACACTCCAACGAGAGAAACCTCAGAGGCGGTGAACGGCCTCCCATCCCCCCTCCTTCCACCGCCCTCCCCAGGCGGGCACGGCCCTGGAGTCCGCCTCTCACCTTCTGGCCTTTTCACACTCACGGCTTTCAACCGCCTCCTAGGCCAGTGGTTCTTAACTCAGGGCCCGTGAGATTGAGAACGGGCTGTGAAATTGAACAGCAACTGTAATTAAATCTAAATCCTCCATTTTTACTAACCTCTTGCCTATATTTCGTATCTTATATATCACAAATTAAAGTTTTGGTAACTACGGGGTCCAGTACAAATAATGCCCCCTTTTTACATGCGGGTAATCTATACCAAATCTTTTATTACAAAATCATAAGCATGTAATCATAACATGTAATCTGTAACATAACAACATCACACTCAAGCACACCATATGGCATTTTAGGTGAAATGTTCAAATTGCTGTCCATCTTGTGCGAGACACTCACGTATGCTAAGAGAACAGAGCAAAGAGCGAGAAAGGGAGAGAAATATCAATGTGTGGTTGCCTCTTGTGCGCCCCCACCCCTTCTAGGACCCTCTGGTTCACAGGCCCGTGCTCAATCCACTGGGCTGCACCAGCCAGGGCAGATTCTCTCCAATAAGCACTGTAAATGCATTCATTCTTTTTTCTTTATGTTCTTGATAACATTTTCTTTCCTCCAGCTTACTCTATAAGAATACGAGATACACTACACATCACACACAAACGTGCTAACCGACTGTTACGTTATCGGTGAGCAGTTAAGTTTCAGAGGCGTCGACGTTTTACTTGGATTTTCAACTGCACGGAGGGTCGGTGTCAGCACCCCTAGCCCCTACCTTGTTCAAGGATCCGCTGTAACTGATCTCCTTTGCAATCCTATTTGTTTTTATTGTATTCACTAAAAAACACCTTGAAAGGAGTCCGCAGGTTCCACCAGCCCACCAGCCCACAAGGCCCCTGAAGCCCTGGCGCAGACGCACCCCCGAAACCCACCGCCCCCTGCTCCCGCCCGAGTGCCGGGCTCTGTGCGCGCCCTGCAGACGCGTCGCTCCAGCCGGACTCCGAGCCTCCCTCCTGGTGTCCCGGCCGGCGCCTGCGGGCCTGTCCTTGCAGCGCCCACCCCTCCCCCGCCCCCGCCGAGGCGGAACTGCAGTACTCGCTCCGCTCCCCACCTGCACAGCCCCCCTCCCGCTCCCCCAGGTCGTACCAGGGTCGGTCTAACAGGGCCACAGCCGCGTCCTGAACTCCGATTCATACTGACTGCCATTTGCATCTGGGTCATCTCCCACACCCTTCCCTCCCTCCTGTTAGGTCACCTGCTCTTGGTGAAACCAGCCGCCTCTTCAAAAGCAGCCTGTGGAGGGGCCCGGACGACGTGAACGGGGAGCCTCCTGCCCACCGCCCAGAACCTGACCCCGCCCCAGTCGAGCCTTTGGACAACTGCGGCCAGGGCCGCCAGTCTGACCGCCGCCTCCTGAGACCTTCAGCCACTCAGCTACGCGGCTCCCCGATTCCTTAACCTCAGAACCTGGGAACGGGTGTGTGTTTTCACCAGATGCCGAGTTTTGAGGCGACCTGCGGAACAGCAATGAACAGCTCACTAGGATTCTGTTACCCCCCACTGCTGTTCCCCAGCTGGCTCCCAGGAGGCTGCTGACTCACGCCAGCCCCCCCCAGAACCTTTCACAGCCCCCCACCCACCTGAGGGGAACCCGGGATTCCCTCAAGACGTGCGCCTCGGTCACAGCTGCCTTCTGTATCCTGTTTCTCGCCACCGCCAGCAACTACAACCCGCCTCGTGCCGGCCCTTCCAGTCCACGACACGACTGGGCAGCACCACACCGCCTGCAGCCAGGCCGCACACACTACGGACCCTGCCTGCCACTGCCCCACCCCGTCCCGGAACGGGCCCTTCCGACCGCACGGCTGCCTCTCAGGCAGTGTCCTCCCCCCTGAGGCTCGGTGGGCCCGCCCACAACTCTCCTCCCTCCGAGTCTCCAGGTGCCCTGGCTTCCCTGGACTCTCTCCAACCCGAGCACAGCGACCAGCCCCATCGGTCACGCTTCCATCTCACCTTCTGATCGCCTACTCCCCGAAATGCTCTGTGCGCAATGCCTCCCGAACACTGGCCCGTCCCAGTGAGGGAGCATGCACGGCCCTGCACAGATGCACACTGGCATCTGAACCCACAACTGAGCTGGCTGCAATTTTAGCCTACTGCTACTTTTTTTTAATCACCTGGATATTTTAGCTGCACCCTGAATTCCTTTGCAACCTCTCTCATTTTTAACATCTACCTAGTTATCTACACCAGAACCCTCAGTATCAACTTCGATCCCTACCTCATTACCCCCCATCCCCTCGACCCACCAAGCCGGACTACGGGACGCAAGCCATTACTCCTGACCAGCCCACTCCCTCCCGTGCCCCCGCCAGCCCTGCTCAGCCAGGGTCCCGGCCAGCCTCGCCGCAGGCACCAGCTCCCCTACCCGGCCTGCCCCTCTCCGATCCACAGCAGCCCGGAACGGTCTCATCTGGTCACTTCCCTGTCCCCGGTTCCTCTGCCGTAAGATCCCTCACACCCACCCCCTGCCCCCCCCCCACCCGTTCCCCCACCCCAGTTCCCAGTCGCCATCACGGCCATGCTGAGCTGCCTGCAGGTTCTCAAATTCATCACAAGCACCACCACTCTCGCCTCTAGTGAATGGCTTCCTCAGCCCCCCTCTCCCACCCACTGACTCCTCCTCCTCCTCCAGGCTGTTAACTAAAACGCTACCTACCTGTTCCAGGCAAGAAGGTAAGGTATCTCAAAACACATTCTCAAGTAATGCCCCAGCACCTGGCCCCTCCACCTAGGAGAGCACATGCTGCGCCAGTCACCTGTTTGTTTATTTCTCTCCTTTTCTGTCAACCAGTGGAGGAGGAACCGATGTCTTCCCAGTCACATCCCTTTTCAGCACAGTGCCCAGAGGACAGTGGGCACTCAGTAAATGTTTGTTAGTAGAATGAATGAGTAACAGATACATTGTAGCAAAATGTCCTACTTTAAGAGCATATACCCTTAAAAATTATATACTGTTTAAGTCTCTTAGGTTTAACATAATTTTTTCAAGGGGAGGAAGGAATCTGAAACATGTAAGAACTGTTTGGAGAAACACTGTAACATCAGAATAGAAACAAAAGAACACATCTCAGCCACGTGAAAGAATGCAGACCCCCAAGCCACACGCACCTCGGTGAGCAGGATGGCCAGCATGTCCTGCCTCTGGAAGCGGATGGCCAGGTGCACCAGGGTGTAGCCGACGTCAAAGGCCGAAGGGCGGTTCAGCAAGCGCACCTCATCCGCAGTGAGCTGCCGGGCGATGTCCCCTCCTGACGACTTGTACGCCTCTATCGCAGCTAAATCACCTTCCACAACCCCTGAAACGAGCACCGAGACAGAGGGGTCAGTTCTGTTTTTCTTCAGAAAGCATAAACCTGCAGCATTCACTCTAAACTCTAAATGTTTCTCTGTGCTTCCCGGATCCTGGGGCATCGTCACTCATCTGTCCCACAGAATGTAAGTAAAATTAGTGCATCCCACCCCGGAATTTCTTTCCAGAATGAGCCTGCCTGGTCAGGCACAGGCACTTACCTTCGCCTCAACGCGGGCTCCGGGCTCTCGTGGGGTCAGGGGCACTACTAGAATATTAATCGGCCCAGAGACGGGCAGCCGAGTATGAGAAACCAGACTTCACAGGAGACACTGACCTCCTGTCCTGGCCCTGACTCCGAGGAAACCAAGGAGACGGGCATGCTCCCTGCGGGCCCGGGCACTTCTGCCCTGTGCGCTGCATTCTTAAAGCCCCATCAAAACGGAAGTGGGGCCTTCCGCACCGCGGTAGCTTTGAAACAATTTAAAGGAAAGTAAAGCCACGTTCAATGTTAAGTGAAAGTTAGCAATATGAATCTCTCATAAACAAGTCTTTTTTTTTTTTTTTTTAAGATTTATTTTTAGGGAGAGAAGGGAGGGAGAGAGAGAGAGAGAGAGAGAGAGAGAGAGAGAGAAACATCAATGTGCGGTTGCTGGGGGTTATGGCCTGCAACCCAGGAATGTACCCTGGCTGGGAATCGAACCTGGGACACTTTGGTTCCCAGCCCGTGCTCAATCCACTGAGCTACGCCAGCCAGGGCGAACAAGTCTTTTTTATACCCGTTAAGAATTATTAATGTAGTAAAACCTGACCCAGATGATTTTGAATAAAAAGATGCTAAAACAAAGCACCACAAAGCAGCTGGGGCTGGAGAGGTAAAACAAGTACCACTTTTCCCAAGTCCATAAGAAATTTTCCATCCCCACTGAACCCCGTCACTAATCTTAGCACAAACTACTGTTAGGTGAAGACAGTAGTTCTGTTTCCTAAACAGTGGAGCACATTTACAGACAATGAACAAACAGCCTTGCCCTCAAAAATGAAGGTGTTGGTGAGCTTCAAATGTACCACAAATAGTGGTCAAAAGCAAAACACCACGACTGTAGGACCAACCAAGTAATTTCAAGTGTTTCCTAAGTTACATAGTAAAAATCTGTTTACTAGGTAAAATACTAACAAGTAACTAAAAATAATTCTCAGGGTATTTTTTAGTTCTCAGTGTGTTCTCAGTGTGTTTAATTCTCAGTGTGTTTAATCACTATCTTGAATTAGGAATTAGATAACTAAGGTCTAGCTATTCCTTGGAGTATGAAATTGGTACAATGCAACAATTTCCCCCAGTTATTAAAAATAACAAAGCTTTAAAATGATCATTCAATTCCCACATCACTGAATGCCATGACATGCAGAGCAACAATATGAGAAACACAAAGACAGTAAGAACGTGATTCTTAACTCAAGACAGTCCCTTTCCATCACATTTGTGAGAGGTAAAAGGCCAGCATCTTCAACCTCTGGGTCATAAATTCTTTCTGGAAACCTGGATCCTGTCCCAGCCACATACATTTCTCAAGCTAAGAATGCATGATGAGAACACCTCCTTACAGGCATTTTTATTTTCACGGCAGTGTAGATTAATAAATTCCTCAACAGAAACACCTAAGGACGGCTGGAACCTCCATCCCCAGTACAGAAAGGGCGCCACCACACCCTTATGAGGCAGAGTGTCCTGGAGAAGTCATCGGGGCTGAACTATAATCTGGGTGGTATGAGACACGGGTGATGAATCTTCTCAAAAGGGTAAGCCTTAAGAACAGACACGGAAACTACTACTTGACATAAAAAAAAAAAAAAAAAAAACCCAACTATGGTTAAGGAGTCAAGTACAGAAAAACTCTAGCCCTGGTTGGTGTGGTTCAGTGGATTGTGTCCCTATCTGTGAACCAAAAGGTCACTGGTTCGATGCCCACTCAGGGTACATACCTGGGTTGTGGGCCAGGTCCCTCTTCGGGAACATGTGAGAGGCAACCGATCCATGTATCTCTCCCACATTGTGTCTATCTCTCGCACATGGATGTTTCTCTTCCTCTCTTTCTCCCCTCCCTTCCCCTCCCTCCAAAGACTAACTAAATAAAATGTTTAAAAAAGAAAAACAAAACTTTAGCCAAGGGGGTTGGGCAATGTCCTGCAAAGCAAAAGGTCGCAGGTTCGATTCCTAGTCAGGGCAACAGGCCTGGGTCGAGAGTTTGGTCCCCAATCAGGGCACATACACAAGGCAACCAATCGATGTTTCTCTCTCACATCAATGTTTCTCTCCCTTCTTCCTCCCTCCCTTCCCTACTCTCTCAAGTAAATCCTTTAGTGAACAGACGAGAAGCGGGAACTCATGCATTTGCTTTAGAAGCGAGCGCCCCCCACTCCAGTGCCTCCTGGACACGCAGTGTTCCTCAGGAAGACAGCCACGGCCCACACCGCTCGGGCCGAGCTCTCCTCCCGGGTGCACGCAGTGTCCCCGCACCTGTCTTTCAGTTCTTAGTCTCAACGTAAAGTGCAAGTGCTACATAGATATACATATAGCATTTATACTGTGTATGTCGCATTCACACTATCTATATAGTGTACATATACACACACACACAAAATACAATTGTATATACTATACAATTAGTCACAGCATGAAATTCTCCAAACTTCCCAAAACATGAAAAACACAAATTTAAATATAGGCACAAAGTAATGCTTAAAAGAAAAGCACTTTATTATCTAATGTTTGGGGAGTATATATAATTCTATTCTTTAATTAACCACGAATAAATACTCACAGTTCAGTTACTGTGAGTTTTCAGCTACAAAGATGAGTACATGTATCACAAATAAAATGTCATGGAAGTATCACTGAACTGTCCACATTTTTTTTAAAGATTTTATTTATTTTTAGAAAGAGGGTAAAGGAGGGAGAAAGAGAGGGAGAGAAGCATCCATGTGTGGCTGCCTCTCAAGCGCCCCCTCCTGGGGACCTGGTCCACAACCCAGGCACATGCCCTGAGGGGGAATTGAACCAGTGACCCTTTCATTCACAGGCTGGCACTCAATCCACTGAGCCACACCAGCCAGCGCTAACCTGTCCACATTTGTGATATAATAGCATGACACCTTGTTCAAGCAGAGCTGCTGACTAAGTGTAGACAGTGTCTTGACAGAGATGTTTCACTGTATACATGGTGTTAAAAAGGATTTGGCCCACAGTCTGATAATTTAAAGTTTTAGCTACCACATGTTTTCTACTGGGGGGCAGGGAAAAGCATCAGATTACATACAAAACAACTTACAAAATGTCTTTGAGTTACTCATGTAACATTGCATTTCTACCACTTTTTAACATTAGGGAACAAAGTCGAAGAATTGGCAGGTGGCAAAAAACAATAAATAAATGTCAGTGGTAAAATCTCAACATGAAACCAGGAAAAACCAGAGAAGTTCTGGCAGGGGAAAAAAAGAGATGATGTACACATGCTTTCTAGGTCACTGACATCTCACAATGCCCCCAGAGTAACTAAAACATCGTTCTCTTAAAAATGGTTCTGCTCAGTCCATCCCTTCCTCACTCACGCTATGAAGGCAAATAAAAGGACAACTAAAGGCACTCTGGAAGATTAACGTTATAAAACTAACCTGCAGAATCATCATACATTCCAAAGTGATCAAATGAAATCCTCCACAACTCACTAAGGAGTGGTGCATAATTACAGATAGAGAAAGGTTTCAGTATACTTTTAAAACCATGAAGACCTGAATCTAAATGACAGATACTGCATTATATATTACAAACCCTAAACTTATAAAGTCATATTTTGTCTAAGCTGGACCAGGAGAATTTCACAGGATGGGCAACAAAAGTAGGTTTACAGTTGTGAGTACACAAAACAGCTTATTCTTGTATTATTTTTTTAGCTATTGTATTTTCCCCGCGAACAACTGCAAATCTACTTCCGCCAACTCCTGCACCCTGAAGCCGCAAGGCGCAGCCCCCCAGGGACGCCCCCCTGGGGCCTCACAGCTACTATGGAACTCCGCTGGTCAGAGTATGGAGCTGGCTCGTAGGCGTTTAGAAGACAGACTTGTTTTTTTCCCCCATGTATGGCACAGTTTTCAAAGTTTTGCCTTATTTTCTTTTATGACATAAAATCATAATGGTAACTAACTTTGAAAAGAATGCCAAATGGTTAAAAAAAAAGCCAGGACTTACCTGAGCCCACATGGGCCAGCTCAACACTACCCTGGAGTTCTATGGTAGCTGTGACAGCACAGCATGCTTTATGCTGTGGGGTCAGGGTGGACTTGGGTTGGAGACAGCTCGCACAATTTCAGGAGCCCTTAAAGAGAAAAGTTAGTTTTAAGTGGTAATGTTCAGAATGCCCTTTACCATGGTCAGCAGAAAGATGTACGCTCTCTAGGTAAGTTTCTTCCTCTACTCAGAGTTTAACTCATTTAACTGGTTTTGCAAATTAAAAAGGACACTATACCACCCTGTAACACCTTTTCTTTATACTCCTAGCCATATGGCTGTAGTTCAATCACAAACTTGGTTCACATATTCACAGCGATCTCTTTCAGTACTTAAACATGAGCTGTTTTTTAATAATATGACCGACATTTTTAAGTGTATCTTCAGGTAGGCACAACTCCATAGCAATCGCAAAAACAGTCTGAGCAGACAAAGCAAATCACCTCTAGATTTATTTTTCGTACAATAAGCAACAGCAACAAGTTAAAATCTACCATTTCTATTCCTAGGATAGGGCTACAGAACAATAACCTTTTCAAAAAGCCAGGAGATGAAAATTACGATCGGAAATAAATCCTTAAATTAACGTACTCTGTACTATATCAAGATGAGCCTCTATTCAACTCATTTAATAAATCCACTCCATTATGAAAACATCCTCTTTTAAAAAACCCACTTCAATGACAGGGAAGTCCAAGTAGTCTCTAATTAAGGCTTTCAGG